GAGAAACGACACATCTGGAGCTTCACACTTTTCTAGTTCAAAGATTAACAGCTGAAAAAGAGAATAACGAGATTCATTTAAACACCTCCACTCCAAAGCTTGGTATGACATAATGTGTTGTCTCGTGGTAAACCATAGTCTGCTACACAGCCGTTTTCAGTGTCGTCACGCAACGGGTGTGTAGTAGACTAGGTAAACCAGCTCTCGGGGAAAATAATTTTCGGAAGCTGGCAGGACACGATGACTGGCCAAAAAAGTTTTTGGCATTGCTCTTTAAAGACTCTTTCTGAACGGTCAAAACCTATCAACGTATTAACTTATCCTTTTCTCGTGAATGTATTTTTACTAGAGACATAATCTAAGATTTACAGGTGAGGATTTGGCTGTTTGTTCAAGAATAAGAGTGTGCGTGACCGGTCAACGGTTTCTAGCCGGTCAAGTCGCCATTCAGGTCGGACATTGTCCTTCGACTGGCAGTTATTACGAGCCCTGTAAACCAAGACAGCTTCCTCTCTTAAAACGTATCTGTAAGTAGTTCCCTGCAACTTTCGCTTCAACCAAAATCAAAATGCAGGGACTGTCTCTCTTAGGCCCCGACTTGTCCCGGGTAGTAGGGTCACTCGCCTAACTGAGCTACCCTGGGCGAGCCAACCTTTCCTACTTTTCCTTAAAAAACGTGGCAAACCGTTCACATGAGAAACAAAATGTTGCCTCGGTTATAAGGAGTGGGTCACCCTTTTTTAATGTTGGTTCACCCTACTAGTCGTTCCAAATGTTTTCCAAATAAACACTTTGGCTCACTCAACCAGGTCAACTTGGCCGAGGCGAGACAACCAGAGCACGCGCGAGCGCTTTTAGATCAGGCAAATGCTCAACTTTTTTTCTATAAACGCTCGCTAAATTGGACTTGGCTGGGAGGTTGACCCTCTTTCCCGGGACAACTATTCTCCGTATAAAAGGGGTCTAAGAGTGATGTCTGTCCGCGAGAATAAAAAAATATGACTGAACAACGGTCAATACTATTACTAAAGTGTTCCAATCCGTTTTGGAGATTAGCGCAAATATGGACTACCAAGTAGTCGATTAACTGGTCTTCCTACCAACTACGGTATTGACGTACCTCGTTTTCTCCTTTGCGTAGCCATGGAGCAGGAAGATACAGCGTCTCCTGTGGCCCCAGATTCCAATACCTTCCTAAATTATGTCCATTAATGAATACCACGCCTTTGGTCCAACCTTTCATGTACAGAAAACTGTCCTTTGGCTTATCTGTGATCCCTAATATTCCTCGAAAAAGTGATGGAATAGACGGTAAACTACCTTCCTTCACTTTCTTCCACTCCACTTGTTCATTCAACCTTCAATCAAGATAGAAGTAAGCATTAGTTTATTGCTGAATCCTGTGGCAAGGCGCTATTGTTGACAGGAGTTTTACGAGTGCAAATCCATATGCATCGCACTCTGGCCTGTAAAAATAGAGATTTTTTTTACGTCAAACGACAAACGTCAGATTCAAGTTTTTGGCAGTTTCTTAAATTAGGAATGAACAGATGAAAACTACATCAAACGATTTGAAGATGAAGCTACTGATACTAATTTTTGTTTAGATCAAATGAACAGTACAGGGCAAGTAACAGGAAAACTTCTTTAGTAAAATGGTACAAATTGCCGTTTGCGGTAAACGCGATTTTAAATCTCTGTAGTAACTGCTTTTTTGCCTAAAAGCGGTAGCAAATGTCTGTTTACGTTCGTCCTTTCACAGCAAATACTACAAAATGTCATATCTTTGTATGCCTTTGCACGACTGTAGCTGTAAAGAAGGGCTGTTTCAATCATACTTACTTCTTGAAGAAGTTCTCCTTGAAGTCCATCGGAAAAATCCTCCAATTGCTTTGTTTTTGCCCGTCAATCAAAACATCACCGAGTATACCTGTATGGCACGTAATACAATAATTTTACATATAACGGCACTGAATGGAACTACTCTTATGCTCAAATAGCATTACTAATATGCTTCATTACAATTAACATTAAACTGCTCTTTTTGCATGATTTTTTCCTCGCCGATTGAGACAGCTCATGACAATGTTCAAGCACTGGAACCGCTAAGAGCCACATTTTTGCTAATTTGTAACCAGGCGTGGTCTTAAAATGTGATCCACGGCCTGGTGTCCCATATGGAAATTCTATGGTTTTGGCAAGGTTCTTAAAAAACAAAAACAGTCAAAGAATCGTTGCACTATTACTACTCAAGCATAATGCGCGATTCTTTTTGCCTCGCTATTACGCTCATTACGCTGGCATACTGTGGACAAACCTAGTCTTGGTCACAAAGGACATATTGATGTTAGCTGTCTCAATACGTACACCCCCAAATTACTGGTAAAATATTTACGAAGTTCGCGCATGTTAATCAATCTTTGGTCTTAGTCATAGTATATTAGAAACCATCCTGGCTACCTTTACGCTGTCGGTTGATATCCGGTAAATAGTTGACACGTCCCATGTTTTCAACAAGAATATCAAGTTGTAATTCTGAAGGGGCCTACAAGCGGAATTAACAAACATTCCAAGGTCAAGCTAAAGTAGCATAGTAGGGTGCTGTGGGATCTGTTTACTGAACAGGTGAGCCCGTACGGAATATGCAAAGCGGAGAGTAAGGAATAGATGAACAAACCAGACAAATAACCACTCTGGAATCTTTCACTCTTTACGAACTTCTTGCGTTTATTTATTTCGCTCGCTAATTTCTTTGTTTAACAGACCTTATTCACGATACTCGCCATCTTTTCACGCGCTTTAGGATTGATGGGACACGTGGTATTTCAGGGAGAAAACACGCAATAAAATTTGCCAGCACAAGTAATCGTTGTCGAGTTTATTTATAATCTCAAAAGGAGACGGCGATTTTAGTCATGCAAATTGCACGCTTCGAGTTTCGACAGGTTTAACGTCGTTTACACTTGCTCTGAGGTCATCTACGGTCCCTACTGCATGCAGAAAAGTAACTATGATCACTTCCACCCATAATTTGCTATTATTGTCTCTAAGATAAAAAAAAATGCTCGTTTTCTTAAGTCTAGAAAACACAAAGTCAAACTTGTTTGCGCTCGTGAAAAACTACGGTACATCGCTCTTATCCCATTAGTCTTTAAGCACATACAAGGAAGGCGGGTATTGTGAATAACGTCTATTCTGCATTTAGATTTGCCATCTTAGCACCAAGAAGTGACTTGAAAGGACAGGGTACAAAGAAAGTCAGTTTTACAGCTTGCCATTCGGGCAAGTGGTAGCTAGCATGTACTAGCCCACAAGTCATTTCAACTAGCCCAAAACCCTTTTTGATTGGCAGGATTGATTACAATCCTTCTTTAATTTGAATTCCCCCAAAAATTTGCCCCAGTTTTTCGAACAAAATCCACAAATCGGACGTGACTTTTGCACGCTGAAGGACCAAATAAACCTTTCTGAGGAGGAATCTCAATGTGAAGAGGCATACCGTAACAATGATAATGTCAAAAGCTTTTTCTGCTAGCAGAGGTCTCTCATGGCAAGAGAAAAAAGGGAGGAAGGAGAGAGACCTCTGCCGTCCCCCGACGCGCTCTTTCGTTTAGTCACCGACCACACTTCTGGTCGAAACTTACTGGTTTTCAAAATCAGTTTCGTTAAATGTGGAATGCGCATGCGCTGTTGAGACTTTACGCTGGAAATTTCTGAGCCCACGGTTGTCATCGCGCAAACCGGTTCTGCCAACTGAAAGGTTAAAAACTGCATGCGTAAATCGACGCCCGATAAAGGTTTCCTCCTTTGCCATAGAGGGTCACTGGAATCTAAAACGGATAAAGGGTGACGTCAAGATAGGGTGACGTCACGTTCTATTGGCTTCGGTCTTTCAACAAGTTTTTAACCAGTTTGACGGGTTTCTAAATTGTTTTGACCTAACCTCCAGATCTTACCTCCATATCCGCGACTTTAATTACCACTTCCCAAAGTTCCTTCTCATCAATGTATTGTTTCTCCTTATCCATTGCATCAATTGTATGAATAAGTTTGAAATCAAGAAATACCTGAAGCAGATTTTTGAAAGGTTAGTTCAAAAGAATGTGATCTTTGGATCATAAATCTTGAGCCGGCTCATTCCCAAAAGATCGCACCCATATAAATTCTCACGTGTAAAAACGCGTTATTGTTTTACAAGGGTACAAAGTATTTCAGACCATTAACTGTGTATTAGCAATTTCATTCTTGAACGTAGCCACCTCCCAAAGGCAGCAGACATTTGAATCGAAGACCTTGACCACATTAAACCTTCATTCTGGAGCCACTCCTCCTACGCTTTAATTTCAAATAGATCAAGAAGTTGTTGTCAAGAAGTGGAAGAGAGACAGGTGTCATTCTCGAAGGCAGCGGCGAATCAAATACCAGCTATAGGGCAGGGTTCTATCCCCCCCAAAATATTGTTATCATTACAGTATTTAAGTAACTATATTGGAAAAATCATCTAGACGCGACGAGGTCAGTGCACAAGAAGTAGTAAGTATCCCTGTCTAAGGACACTATATGACAAGGAACATAGAGTATTGTAACATTGTCATAACGTGATCACGACTAAAAAATTAAATGAAATACCACTATTACATTTCTCAAAATTGTGTCTCAAAATGCACCAGATTGCATCTCAGCTCATATTCATTTACGAAAATTTCCGGGTACCCCACTAGGAAGCTCGTGGCAGAAGGCAGGACTTCTCCCCCAAACGATAAATCTCAGATAGAACCCTGTAGTGCATGAGTGCTTAGTACCTGTGCTCTGTCATAGACATGCTGGATTGTTATTTGCTTGGGGAGACGTTTAAGTGTTGTCTGATACAGAATGAAGCCATAGCCCTGTCCGCCATTATTGTTGATTGGCAGCTTTTCCATGGCCATCACATTCATGCTTTCAACTGGTGGACCCTTTAAAATGATGAAAAACGAACATGAAATCAATTTCAATGGAAAATAGTACAACCAATCTTCAATCAGTAAAACCGGTAAAGCGGTATCGATACCTGAGGCCATAGTAAGAGGTTAATCAAGTAATGAAGAGTTCCGTCTTTTTGAACACAACAATTTGGTTGTTGTTAATTAGCGGAAACAAGCGAAAAACGTTTCCAGCAGACTAGGGTGACAGTTTTTTAAAAACAAAATGAAATTCACACTTACAATATGCAAACACAAAATCATGTCTTAGCGCCTGTTTACATGGAAGTGGGGGACCCCAGGTAGGTGAGGTAACCTATTTAGGTGGAGTGACCTGCCTCTCCATATAATCTCTCATTTTAACGGTAATTTGATCAGATTTACATGATAGGTAGGGTGACCATCCTCCACCTCCATGTAAACAGGCCCTATGTGCCCTAACATAGTCGTTTAAACCTAAGTGAAGATATCGCCCTAACAATAAAACACATATGCCAAACGAATATGGCTTAAACAATAGTTCAAGGATTTGAAGGTTTTTAAAGGCTTGTAGTCACATAATTTTAAAATTAATGTAGGTTACTGAAAAGATAATATCTTCCAGTATTTAGTTATATCATTTTTTATAGTTTAAGTTAAGCGTGATTCTTCCTATATTTGTTTTTAAGTCATCAATTAACATAGCCGATACAATTTAAACCGTAAGTACACTCACAAATAACGGCACCAAGTCGCCAAGGTCCTGAAAGTGCTGCATCTCAACATCTTCTGCAAAATAAAATGACGGAAAAAATAAAAATCTTATTTTACTGAAGTTTTACACATTACATACAAGAAGAAAAAGATCGCACTTTTATATTATCTCACATTTACAAAATACTCATATCAAGAATATTATAATTACCCTACCGTATTCTGCTCTCTCATGATCGCTTACTGCAACTGAAAAAAATGAGTATCCATGAACATAAACGTTGTGAATAACAACATTCAAAACTTATCTTCATATCAGAAACTGCTTCATTGACTCGGGATCTATGAACAGTGAAAAATGACTGAAGTGTCTTGATGATGAATTGACCTAACACAAAGTCACATGGACAGGTACCAAGGACAAAGGCTGGAATGAAGAGTTGGAGAAGGAAGTATTCCCCACGTCAGAAACTGTGGGAAGAAAACGTACAAGCCTTGGATGCAGTGATTTCTGGGATCGTAATGGTGGACAGGCGTTAGTTCAGCGTTAGTTATGATTGGTCGATGGTATTTAAGGCAACCATTAACCAATCATAATTAACGGCTGTCCGCCCAAACGATCCCAGAACTCGCTGCCCCAAAAGCGTGTATTCCATTCCCTTTTATAACTTCTGGAATGGGGAATTAAAATTTTTCAGTCTGCTGTTTCATCTTACTTGGAGAAAGGGCCTCTACATTATACTTTTTCAAGACTTCTTTCAGCGCTTTAAACTTCACAGTCATATCGCCAGCTTCCGACAGAGGAGCATCATAATCTAGAATAATGAGGCAAACACAGAAAGCCAGAAAATGATATAGGATAGTGACATAAAATGAAAGATAACTTCAAACCACCCTGGTTCATTTAGTGGTGTTAACTGATATCCTGTCTAAAACATTAATATATTCCAAATGTTTCTTTTTTGCGTGGATGGGAAAAACAAAAGTTTCCGAGTTTGCTGACGTCGTGTCTACCTAAACATCAGTGTCCGGCTTCAGTTATACACACACGAGCAAAAACGTTGGAGAAAAACAAACAAACAAACAATGACAAGTAGATTGTCACTCTTGCTTTGAAATGATTCCCAGACAAATTTCTCAGAGACCGTTCAACCTCATTAACAATTCGAATTTTGTCAATTTTCCCGACGTTTTACCTGCAATCAGTGGATAAACCTTCTTCAACTTCGTTATTAACATCTTCTCTAAAAGCTAAATTTATTGTAGGAACATATAAAAGCGCGCTGGCGCCATTCATGCATGCAAACTAAGCAAAACACATTTGGGGAAATAGCCTGACAACGAAAACGTACCGCCAGATATGCGGTGCGTTTTTGTTAACACAAGAATAAAGGTTTTCGGATACGCATTAGTTTGTAGAGGGCCTGATCGCTTCGCTCGCCGATTTTTGCTGTTTCACCCCGTTTTTGCCTGCCCCCCACTAAGGAGCCTGGTCCCAGGCTACTTTAGGCGAAGGAGGGGGGAGGGGTTGGGGGGAGAGAGCTGAGAGACTAGAAACATTGCGAGACTCTTCTTGAGGACAGACTCTCACTGGGCGGCAGATCGTGTGACAAAATTAATAATATACTTAATAATTAAGGAATGGGTTGAATTGTTAGACGACTTACCATATGAGGTGACTGTTGGTTGGTATTTGAATTCACCTTTTATGGCATTTGCACCATTCATGAAACCAAAATTTGTTCCCCCTGGAAAACAGTGAATTAGTATTCAAATTTAACATTCAACACTTAATGACTGGTCCTGAGTGAAACAGTTAATTTTGTTTCCCGAGAATCTTAATGTTTTCCTCGGCTCCGCCTCGGCAAACGTTGAGTTCGAGGGAAACAAAATTAACTGTTTCCCGAGGGACCAGTGTCTATAAGTAATTTGTTATAAAGCTGGAAATTTTGAAGCAAGAAATTCATTAAACCTCGCAGTCGCTGTGACGGCGGTCGTCGGTCAACGTTCGTGGGTAACAGTGGACTGAACATTACCCTCTGACGTCATAGATTTTGCGATGTTGCCCGCTCAGAGATTTTGGCGGGAAAAAGTTTCATTATTAGATGTCACGTGACCTCGAAGTAACCAATGAGAGCACGCCCTGCTGGGAAAACTTTCAGCTATATAATAATTACCCTTGCTTCCTTTCAGTCTTTATATTTATGGCTAGTTAGCACTGTTAAACTAAAGCCCAAAAAACTCTCCAGCGAACCCTCAGCTCTCGTATTTGGTCAGGGCTGTACTATGGTAGATAAGTCAAAGGGGATAAATTAAAATATAAAACTGAATGGTGCTTTGGAGGTTGCTACCAAGGCTTAATGTTGCCAAAGAAAAGATCCACGCTGCCCAACAAAACCAATTGGATAAATTCAGGTTTGTTTCCTTCCTTAATTTAAAGTTAGGGAATCAGGAACAGCATTCTGCTCTACGACATCATCATCAACACCATCACCATCACCATCAACATCTCCTCTATCACCATCACTACTACTGGGCCTCGAAAAAGTACCGTACACTCTATTAAACGGAACAAGCAGTTTTTCCAGCTAGGAAAGTAACAATATTAAGCTTACTTGCTCAATGGGCAAGTCATCTTCTAGCCTTGTTTGCCCTCAGCAAGCAAAATATAAAAGCGGCTTGTGAAAAGGAAAAGCTGTAATTCAAGTTTCTTTGAAGCCCTGATATCACCGTGTCATCGTTATCAACATCATCTCGTTATCATCATCATCCGTCAACATCACCATCATATTTATCATCATCATCATCATCATCATCATCATCATTATCATCATCATACCAAAAACATCCCAACATTCAAATAAACAACAGACTTTATTGCCTTATGCTCTTGCTCTGTGCTACCGTGTATATCTTTAAATAACTAAAAACTGAACTTTATTTAAAAAAACAAAAAACCCTGTGACACAGCCGACTTTCAAGCCACGTGACTACTCTGAGGGTCTACTGAATAAAAACACACACTGTACCATGAAACATGTAGAAGTTGATAGAGGCTCCAAGCTTCAGTATGTTTGAGACTCGTTCAACAACTTTTTCCACCTCCATCTCGTGATGCTGTTCTCCCCAGTGATCAAACCAGCCTGGCCAAAATTCAGTTACCATCAGTGGTTTATCAGGCTGCAAAAAATCAACTAATTAACTAGAAATACAATATACCTTATCGCAAAAACCTCGCGCAGCTGTAAAGGATCAGCAATATGAACAAAGGGAAACAAGACAAAGGGGAAAAATACGATCAAAAAATCAAAAACTAAACAGACTAAAAAAAGTACAACTAAGAAAAAAAGGTTGCTTTACCGGGATTGGGACCTACAATGCACCCGCACTTTGCACATGAAATCAGCTTTAAGACAATGGCGCCACGCTGCCACTGGACAATTATGTAGGTAAAACTATTTATTTATTTATTTATTTATTTGTTTTGTCACTCACACAAAATAACAATAAAACGTTACAAAAGGTGTTAATTAAAATATAAGTTAATGTGACAAGGAAGCCTAAAGAAGATGGGAGCTTATATTAATAGGCTTACCTATTAATATAAACCTACTTGAGTGCAGAGTGTACAGAAAACAAAACTTAAGCGACAGAATGACTATAAATGAGATAATTTTTCAGATTTTTTCAAAAAAAGAATATGGAAGAAAAGCTGGTTAGTAAAATTGACAACGAAATTCCAGATTGTTGGCCCTCGATAGAGGATACTGAACTGCTTAATATTAGTTCTACAAAAATGAGGTCAGTACTGAAAGGCTAGTCGAGTTTCATAATGGTGAACCTGATTAATACTTAAAAAGAGGTTACGAAAGCTACTAGGCAGAAGATTATAATTATGGTTATTATATTTAAATAATGATGACGATGACGTCATTACACAAACCACTGGATATGTACAAATATAATTCGGCTATTAAACTGAGTTTGCAGGCCGCTATGATCCACGCGCGATCGTGAACTAATTATACACTCGCTCCGCGGACGCGAGAATTAAAATAAATAAATAGAACAGCAACAACACGGTAACTTGTCAATTATTTAATTTCCTATCACGCTACTGTTTTAAAAAAGGTGATGAAACATTGGGGCTTTCCATTCAGCCCAAAATTTAGCAATTCTTGGTTAGAAATCAAATGGAACAGACCACAGTTTAGGTTTGGTCCGACTGGTCCTCTCTGACTGATCTGGCCATTTTAGTCGGTCAGACTGAAATGTTCCTTTCCATTTGACAATTGTTGTCCTGTTAGTACCGCTCTCCTGTATCCTGCTTACCAATACAATAAACAAAGGCGCGGTGGCTTGGGTCAGGTCTGCGCCACCGGAATGTACCGTTCCATTGGGCAAGTGGAATTTCCAAAATTTCAAACCGGAATTTTTGTTGAATGGAAAGCGCTCATTAACTCGCGACTCACAAATTGAAGTGTTTTGTTGTATCGGTTATATTGGTCATTGAACACATCAAAATAATAAGACGTTTTCAGCACCTGCGTTTCTGAAGTCAAGGAAATGGGCTAGAAGCGGAAGAAGTTTTCAATCTCTACCCTTAATAGCAGCCTACCGGTATTTAAGTTACCGTGGAATACAAATTTTTCAAAAAGCAAACTTGTTCAAACTATCGTTAGCCTTTATTTACAGTATTTAACCAAGCAAGGCTCAACTCACGTTTGGTTTAGATAAGTGGGAGATTAAAGATACCAAGGGTTAATAACTATGTTGTAAAAACCAAATATTGATATTTCACTCCTATTCCCAACCAATGTAACAGCACAATACCTTCCACATCAAATCTTTAAGAACTACCTTGAAAATCGCATTTACCACTTCTATTTGTTCAGACCACAGTCATCACAAATTTAAACCTTTGAAGAGATGATTCTTTTGAAGCATTAGATACTGAGGAGTTACCTGTAGCTCTTTCAGCCTGTTTAGATAATACGTCTCATTCCTCTGAAAGTTTGCTGTCTTTAATACTGAAATCAAACAGAAATGGGGGCACTTTACAGGAATCCTCGGCAGAAGGATCAAAGTGCTACAGACAATGATGTATCCATGACATAAAATGAGGACATTACAACTTGAAAGTTGTTTTGACACTTTCTGTAACTTTTTTTGTGAGTAAGAACATGCAATCATTTAAGATAGGGAACTGTGTCAAGGAAGTTCAGTTAATTTTCTAGGTTTTACCAAATACGTGTACTCTTAAGAAACTTGATGTGCGTTATGATAGTCAAATTCATATAATGGCTTCATAACTGAGAAACAAAATAATTTGTATCCCAAGTATTTAGAGCTACAAAACGTATTGGGCTGCCAGCTTCAGAAACCCCAGTTACATATAAATAGAAATCCATTTAATTTTATTCAGTTTGAGTTATCATCACTGTTTTATATTATTTACTGTTGGTGGTATTTTAATGTTCTTTACAGTTTTAGGTGGTTATTTGTACTTCACTCAAATTGGTGAGCAGTTATTCCTTGACTGCTAAATTTTTCTTAACTTCAAGATCTACAACTCCGTTACATTTTGTGAATGATTAACTTAAGTTAAGTTGATGTGCTTCTTGAGTAATAGAGAGTTTGGTAACCTATATTACGCTTACAGAAATTAAGGATACTTCAAAAATACTTCACGTATATTAGGAGGCAGTCACCTTGATATCTTTTCAACACAAAAGTACACTAAAAGTATCCTAAAGTACTTCATCTTGAAACTAAATTTCAGTGTTCTTCTATTGAAGACATAATTGAGATCAAGAAAACATTCTACAGATTGGTGAAGTACATAGCACATTCCTAGATGAACAGATGCACAGAGCCCACATCAGCTATTGTTTGGCTTCGTAAGAAGATCACTCGCCAAATTGTCTGTGTTTTCCATGGGGAAAATAGGCAAAGTCACTCAGTTTATTTCTGGTCATTTCTTTAAGGTACAGTTACGTAGTTCGTGGAATTTTTGCATTTGGCTGTAAAAGATACTGGTCTACGCTGTTTACTTCCTACTTAGGAGAATCTAAAGAAATAGAACGTTACCTCCTGGCAACTCGGGGAAGTAATCTGCCTCCATATGGCGGATGCCATCTGATGTAAACAAGAGTTCAGTAATGCCATTCTCAATCATTATCTGAAAGAACAGTACAAATATACGATAGACACTGATGTCTCTTAATTGATTTGACACGAACATTTCATACCTCACAGTTTAATTGCTAACACGCAAAAAAATAAAAGGAAATCCTTTGATCTTCTTTGGGAGGCAAGGGCAAGGAAAAGGATGGCTCATACATTTGCACAACCATTCATCTGCCCACAGTCCAGAATCGGACTTTGTTTGATTGGTCATTAGAACAAAAGAGTCTTTGAGCACTGTTCTGATACTTGATCGACCACATTGTGTTAAACTTCTGGAGCAAATTTCAATACACAAAGGTATTTAATAGCGGCGGCTTAATAGAGGAAGATTTGGACAGTGAATTTCTGCTGGTTTAACTTCGTTTCTGCTAGATTTTATGCACAAAACCTTGAAGGAGAGGCGAAAGGAATGCATACGAAGGGTTGCTTACTTGAAAGAAGTCATATTAGCTATTGGCAATCTTTGGTTACTAACAGCAGCATTTCACAGTGTCTTTGTTGCTGGGTATTTATTTGTCATGAATCACGTTTGATCGTTGTAATGATTAATGCCATTAATAAAAATGAATGATAAAGGTTTCTGATGTTTCACCAATTTTGTCCTGAGTTCTTTGTTTATTATTGGTGTAAGCAAAGGTTAAGTAAGACTCATAAGAATAGCAAGGCTTTTAAAGGGGCTGTGTCACAGCAGTCCAGTTCATTTTGTTTAATTTTGCCAATTACTTGCCCTCAATTGCTATGGAACTTAAAGTAAGCAAAGAAATTACATGCAAATGACAAAATCAGAGATCTGACACAAACAAATGACACAAACAAATATGTCTCCTAAGCACTATTTTTGAAGTTGCGAGCAGCAGGGATCAACTTTGAAAAACTGTTAGACTGAACAGTTTTCAAAAATCCTAATTTCAATCCGTTACAATCTTCTTAAGTTTTGCCCATCCGTGGCATCTGTTGTTTCTGTTATGTCACTTTAACCTTCCTTTAACATTTTCAGCGGTTATTTTTATGTTTCTCTTAATTTAACGGGCATTTTGTAATTTCCTAATTTGGCTGAATTTGGTGACACAGCTCCTTTAACTGAAATTAAAAATTACACTGTCCCTCCTTTCTGCAAGCTGGCTGAATTTCCAGTAGCTTGATGCACCATAACATGTTGACAGGTTAAAGTACTGTGGGGGCAGCAGGTGACTTGAATTTAGTGAAATTGTAAAGCATTCCTTTTTTCCCCTTTGGCCGTTGCTCCTCCCCCCCGCCCTCCCCCACAAAAAAATATCTGGTCAGAGGGTTGACAGTTTACTCTCTTGATCATAAAATGATTTTCTTACTGTTTTAAGATGTATCATGTATTTGACGTCAATTTCGTCTGCACCAAAGTTTCCATACTCATTTTCCACTTGAAAGGCAATGACAGGGCCACCATGGGAAAACTGAAAAGATGAGACAAATTACCTCAGTAATTAACTCAAATACAGCAAAGAAGCAGGAGTTCACAGGACCATTTCTAATACAGTAATGAACCACCTATGAAGTCGCCACTTGCCATTACCGTGAGGGTGGCTGCTTAATGGAGGTTCAGCATGAAGTGCTTAAAAGAGGACCCTGGTAACACTGGTTTCTTTTGGACAAAAAAAGTGAAGAAAGTTGGGAAGTTACTGACAGAAGCTCATATCTGTGTAATGTGGAGTAAGCTTAAGGTTTCAATATATTACATTTGACGAAGGAGAATGCATTCTAATCTTGCAATCATGACAAAGATATTTTTCTGCAGTAAGGCTCTGTGCCTGCCTTCTTGCATTTGGCAATTTTCACCTTTTCAAGAAACTTGAGAGTACTTTCCTCTTCATCAGTCACATCTCCAAGGTAAGCTCACATGAACACCTGCACTTCCTCAACAATGGCTATAACCAACATAGTACACGCGCTCTGACGGACCAAGAGTCGTGTTGGCATGAGAGTATGTAAACATGGTTTCGCTTTTTGGTGTGCTAATCATGCAAGCACAAATTTGAAAAAATTTTGAGTTGATATTTGACAAGTTTTCCTTATTTACCCATTCCCTCATCAGCTGAAACCTGGAAAATCTTTACAAAACAATATGCTGTGTCAATTTTTTTTTTTGGCTAAAGCCGACATTTTAAGCGAGAAAAATCTGTATTTTGGAAAGCCTCTTTTTAGCAAGACTTCGTGACAGGTGAGAATTTCTCTTTCATTCAGTGCCATAATAAAGAATTTTGCATTTTTTCACTGAAAAGTTAATTTATAAAAGCAATAGAAAACTTTTTTCCTGTGCTACATGGCCCGATCACTCGATCAAGTCTAGGAGAATTCTCAAGTTATGCAAACCCTTGACTTCGTCTAGGGTTTGCATAACTCATGTTTATATTAGGCAATGTAAACACAGAAAACATTTTCTACTGCTTAAATATTTTCAAGTTTGAAACACATCCATGTCCTTTGAAGAATTCTATCTATGAACCTCATGCCACCAATATGTCTTCTTCTTAACACACTTACTACGGTTCTCACCATCAATATGTTACAGACCCTTTCCCTTGTTTTACTTCAATTATTTTATTATCCCAAGTATTTTCTACATTACCTGTAACGGGACAAGTCTCTGAAGTAGTTTCTGAAAATATTTATCCACTGCATGAATATAAGGAGGATACGAAGTCCTCAATTTCATTTTTGAATCACGGAGCAACCAACTGTAAAGAAAAAAAGAGGTTGTTGGGACAGAAAAACAGTCAGTGATGTGTTAAAAAAGGCTGGGGCAAAAAAGAAAATGACAAATACACTCTTTGACCAACTTTTTGTAAAAGTTTCTGAAAGTTTATTTTTCCCTGACTGTGAGTCACTATGCCTAGTGTTGTGTCAATCATTGATTATAATCGATCATCGATTACAATCTTTAGGCAATGTGACAATTGATTACTAATTGATTGGCTACTAATAATTAAAAATTAATGAATGAGGTTGAGTATCTTATGAAGAATTATGGAGATCGAGGAGGGTGTTATCCGTCGAGGCCGTAGGCTGAGGCGGATAACACCCTCCGAGATCTCCATGATTCTTCATATGATACGAAAGCCGAATTCAATAATTGTTTTATTATTCATTCTAAATAATTCCTAGTTTAAAAACATAGTTAAAACATGCTTACCTCCATCGATCTATCGATGTTCAGTTCATCTTCGATAGCGTACGTTTAGGTTTGTCCAGCCCCGCAAGTATTCTCCAAATAGCAGATGTCGCCCTCCGAGTTGTCTTCTTGCAGTTTTTGCTATGTTTTTAACTATTACTTCGCCTAGTTCCAGCTGTAGTTCTGATCTTACTCTTGAAACGAGTCAAGTGTCAGTCATTTTTGTTTTAACAACCAAAACAACTCAACCTCATCCCCAGGTCTTCTCTGTTAACAGTTCATTAACCTGTAGAAGGCTGCATTTTTGACATCATTTCCTTGTTAAACACAAAATTCTTCCAAATTTGGTCATCAGTAACTGGTTATGGTGAATTAAATGTATGCTTTTAGCCAATCAGAATCGGGGAAATATTTTGAATGAATAATAATTAACAATTATTGAATGAGGCTGAGTATTATCTGAAGAATTATAAAGGTCTCGGAGGGTGTTATGCTCCTCAGCCTACAGCCTCAACGGATAACACCCACCTCGATCTCCATAATTCTTCAGATGATACTTGGCCTCATTCAATCAATTGTTTTATTATACATTCAAAATAATTCCTAGTTTAAGAAACAAGTTAAAACATGATTACCTCCATTGATGTTAAGTTCATCTTCGATAGCACATGTTAATCAGCAAGTTTAGGAGATAAAGGGTTGTTCAGCTCTGCAAACAATATTCTCCAAATAGCAGATGTCACCTGTCAAATTGTCTTCTTGTCGTTCTTGCTATGTTTTTAGCACACAGTTTGCCTATTTATTCCTCGTGAAACGGGTGAAATGTTCTGCCATTTTTTTACTCACTACCAATGAAAACAACTCAACCTCGTCCCTAGGTCTTCTTGATTAACCGTTCAATAATCTGGCAATTTGCTGCACAACTGACATCAGTTTTCACATATCATGCAAATTCTTCCAAATTTGGTCAACAATAGCTTGTTATGATGAATTATCGATAGGATTTTAGCCAATCATAAAATGGAGAAATATTTTGGATGAATAATAACTGTCAATATTGATCATTAATAGCTTAATACCTTGGTAATCCTCCAAGCTCCCACTCAGCACAGATGTATGGTCCAGGACGCACAATCACATATAACCCAACTGACTGAGCCAGTTTAATAAAATGGCTACACAGTAATAAAAAAACAAGAAAGACGTTTATATTTATGAGAAAACTCTGCCCTATAAATGTTGTTTCAAATAGTTTTTATGATTTTTTTTCTAAGTTTGTGAGTGTATGTAGAATATTGTCTAAATCCTGCAATCTGATTTGTTCTGGGAGTGCATTGTGGGTGGTTTTATGATCTTGCCAACTAACCCGGGCAGAATTGTTGTGCCCTCATTCACAATTCTGTTTGTACTTTATGAATGAGCAAAAGCTGCGATTTTATAAACCTGAAAAAGTAAATTTTATTATTCAGAGAAAATAATATACCTTTGACAAGTTCCCCGAAGATCGATCGAATGGAAGAGTAATAAGAAGGTTGAAGAAGATGACTCCTAAAATTCTTGGACTTGTCCTACTTGCGTTTTGCTGAGAACTTGTCAATTTTAATGCACTTCACTCGGAGTGCCAGAGTCATTCATATTCAATAAAATTTCTGGGGAATTCGCTACATAGTTTGTTATATCAAAGTTCCACTGTACTTAAGATGTTAAGTTTGTCTGACTTTTGTTTTTTGCAAATTTGTCACTTTGACAACATTTGTGTGCTGTGCTATACTTAAGCAATTGAAATTCATCTCACTCTTATATTATTTACATATTCTTGAAAACAATCTCATTTTATCATATAAAATGCCCTTACACTATATCCAAAATCCCTTCAAAGTTGAACTGTCCTTTAATTTCTTCATGCAAATTCCAAGGAACGTAACTGTTAAAGAAACAAAAACAATAATGCAGTTACCATACAAAAACACCTCAAGCTGCAACTAGTTCTACCCACCTTTAATCCATCTCCAGAAGTATTCCTTGATCCCAAAATGTCAAGAAAGGTCTTTGAAACACACCCAAATGATTCAGTGTCTAAAGTATCACCCACTTTTGTCTACGCTGGAAGGCCGCTGATTTAAATGCAAAAGTGGGAAAGAACTTCTCAAATTCAATGCACAATGGTTTTTTGACTTTTTTGAATATAGCGGAATCTCTTTTCAGGGGACATTCAACCTTGGGACAAGGCAAGTGTCCTCTGAATGGAAGTTTGGTTGCAGTTTGTTAATAATTAACCAACAAATAAAATATTTTTCTTTGATCCTGCCTCAGAATCTGCTGCAAACATTACTTAGCTTCAAGCAGGTAGATAATGTATAAAAAAATCACGATCAACTTAATTATCTCTGTGATGCTGTATGTTGAAGTACACCAACTTTAAGTGAGGTAGTTCATTTTCTGAAAGCTGTCACCATTATGACTAGTGAACGTTTGAACTTTATATTAACATTTTTTGTGGTCAGTCACTTTTTGATTGAAAAGGTTTGCCATAATCATTAAACATTAAATCTGGGTTTCAGGATCCAGACAACAGTTCCTTTCCCCAGAATAATGGTTTAAATTCCCTTCAATAGAGGTAACAAATACAAATATTATGTGACCTTTTTTCTGGGACCAAATTTTGTGTTCCATGAATAAAGGTGTTAGGGTTAGGGCTAGGAGAGGTTCCACTGTATATCCTAGCCTAAGCTAGAAGACAAAGAAAATTGAGAGTCAATCTATTGTAGGTTTTTAAAGTGACTTGGCACTTTATTTTGAGACTACATGTGAATGTTGCCCTCACTCATGCTTAAGGAAAGGTACATTGTAGCTCAGAAGTCAAAGTTAAGGTCTAGGAGAATGGTTCTACTGACATTTTAAGGAAAGAATTCAAGTCTCAAGGTGCTTTTAAATTCAACTAACTTAAAATGAAAAAATCGTGTAGTTTTTTCAAATGTCAAGTCCAGTTTTATACAGGATTTGATGCCAAGATGAACATCCTTCTGTTTGGTATGGTCTCTTTCTCGTGATTGGTTGAACGACTTTGTTTTCTTATCAAACCTGATAGAGCTTACCTCGGAAACTGTCATGGAAAATTCTTTTCTTCTATTTTATGTATCCAAGGAAATTTCCATGAGGTACTAATGACAATTTTATTGGGAAAATCGGTCACAAACAGAGAGTTCATTCGCCATGGGTGTACAAGATTCTTTTATACAGAGGTGGTAAAGGAGGGATCTTGATCATAATGCTGCTCTTTCACAATTCACAAAAAAAACAATTGACATAATGAGAATCCAGTTTCCAAAAAATTAATGGATGCTATGAAAACCACAACTCACAATGAAAAAAAAAATATCCATTCCACATTTCACAAGAAAAATGAGGGACTGAGAAAATACCCTTTACTACTCTCTAAAACAGTTAGTAAGTGTACCTTATTATTACTACGTCAACAACATTAGGCTCAAATATTATGGCTAACCTTGTTGACGTACTAATAATAAGTTACACTTTCTAACTATTTTAAAGGGTATTTTCTTGGCCCTTCATTTTTCTCATGCAATGTGAAATGGTCAATTTTTCCATCGTGAGTTGTGCCTTTCATAGCAGCCATTAATTTTTTGGGAAGTGGATGCCACCAGGTATAGTTTATAGTGAAATGTTGAAAAAGGAACGATATCAACTGCTTCTAGAAAAATTGACAAATGCCCCACCTGCGGGCAGAGGTTTTCTGACAAATCCCCACCAGCTTGGTAAGTGTAACTTATTACTAGTACGTCAACAAGGTTAGGCTCAAATACTGTGGTTCAGTTAATTCCAAGCATGCCCATACCCTCCCCCCACCTGCCATGCGCATTAGTCGCCTCTGCCCGCAGGTGGGGCATTTGCCAATTTTGCTAGAAGCAGTTAAGGTGATTCCCTGGTTTTGCATTGCGCATCTCTTACTGCGCATAACAAGATGGCCGCCGTAAAAAAGAGCATGTGAAGTAACATTATTGAAATGAAGTTGACTGAAGAGAAACGCTTGTGGTTGTTTCTTGCCGAGGTGAGACTCAATGTGGTGGGAATGTGCATAACGTAAGCAGTACGCGTGTTGCTGAGTTCGACTTCCTCACGGAGAACCTCGATAGTGGATGTTTACTTTGTGCTTATTCACTTTGATTTTCATTTAAACGCTTTCTTTATCACATTGTGTACTAAATGTGATATCTCGATGTAAATTCTGTAAAAAACAGATTTTTTAATACTTCCTTCCCCCTTTCACATACATTCTATTTTGAAACTCACCCCAGTCCTCTCTCAAAAATCAAGGAAAATGCATTTGGTCCGCACTTTCTGCAGCTCTACCGCAAAAACGAGCACGGTGACCCCCATTTTTTATTTCATGATTTTAATAAAGACAGTTCTTCCTTTTGGTGAGAAAAAAATTGGCACAAATCTATGTTCAGTTTTTTGGCAATTTTACTAAATTGTACGGATTGAGCTACATGTGTCGAATAGCGCGTGTCCAATTTAATCCTACTTTGGAGCGTACAGTAAAAACAAGGGCATTAAAAGGCATTTTTATGGTACGTAAGGGGATAAACAATACATTAAAGTCAAATTCTGTGCGATACCACATGCATCATTGAAAAAATCTTTCCTTTTTGCCTAGTTTTAGGCTGCGCGCGGGTTTGTCAAAGGGTCCAAAATAGCCGTATTTGTCAGCATTGTGACGTCAAAACGAGCACGGTGACCCCCACTTTTTATTACTTTTTTATCATCTTCTTGACTTGTTACATCAGTGTACCAAGTTTCATCTACAATCTATGTTAGGTTCTTTTACTAGGGAATCACCTTAAGGTCGTTCCTTTTCCAACATTTCACTATAAAATATACCTACTTGCATCCATTAAGACACTGCTTCCCATCATTGTGATCAGCTCCCACATGGAAGAAAACCAATCAATGTATCGTTTGAAGAGTTTAAAGGAAAAGATACTTCGTTCCCGGGCGGGGGGGAATAGGCACACTTGGAATTGACTGGGCCATTAATTAAAAGAATCAATAATCAAGCTTATACATAAGGATTAGTTAACGGTACTTACGTCTCTACTGTGTTTAATCCCATGGCTTTAAGCTTTAACAGACGATCTTTCCAATACTCAGGTACCACTCGGAAGTAATGAATCGCGCCGCTCAGTATTCGAAACGGTTCTCCCTCGAGTAAGAATTGTTGTTTCTCTGTCCGTAACACTCGTTGTTCCATAGGTAAACCACGAAACGCACGAAAAGCCGTCCATAAAATAATGAAGGCTGAGATTCCAAGAATGATGAGCACTGGCTTTGAACGAATACGTATTGTATTCATCGTCATTGCGACGTAGAGGAAAGAATCCAAGCGCTACAGATTGTACTAACTACAACAAAGGTTTGGCGGACAATCTTATCTGTCACTACCAACACATGCAGACGACAGTGGTCTCCATTGGAAGTTGCATTCCAGAAAAACACTACAAGATAATAAGAAGCTTAAATATAGCTGTTCAGAAGTTTGAAATAATTGAATGATGTGTATAGAAATTATCTCCTTCAGACCTTCTCCGGCGCCGCGGATATGCGGACACGTCACGCACACGTCACGGCCACCCAAGGCGATACGCTCCACCTGGCTACAAGGGGCTAGTCCGTTGTGTCTTCAACACCATTAAGTTGCGTCGAAAGGACATTCGAGCCAAAAAAGCGTTGGAAGTCTTTAGTTGAAAGGGAGAAATTCCCGTCACATGTACAGTCCTGCAAAACGAAGTACTTTCGGTTCCAACATTCCCAGATGTCTTGTCGACGAAAAGATCTGGGTACCAGATTAGAGATTCCCATGTTGCCTCGCGCTACGCTCTGTTTATGGACCCTGTTTATCCTTTCGCGCGAGAAGGTACATGTAATGGACGAAATACTCATACTTTGGATTAAAATATTCCGCAGCTGGGTTAGCCAGAGAAAAAAGACCACATTTCGCGACGCCACCAATGGTTTCCCCGCGAAATGACGTCTGAGAAATTAAACCAGCGCAGAAATTTCACACTGATAACGCGTCACTACTAGCAGATCTGGGTAGTACTTCTGATTGGTCGTGCCGCTCGTGAAATTTGCTTCAACCAATCAGAAGCACTACCCAGATCTGGGTAGTGACGCGTCATCAGTGTGAAATTTCTGCGCTCGTTTCTCAGACGTCATTTCGCGGTGAAACCGTTGGTGGCGTCACGAAATGTCGGCTGTTTTCTAAGGCTACCGTTGGGTCACGCCAAAATGTTTTTGCGCGCAGATTTTCTATTATATCAGTTTTTATTTTTTATTTATTTATCTTTTTAATCAACCTCAACATTTTAGCCTGAATAACCAAATTGAATAAAATAATCAGGAGCTGATGCAGGAGTAGGCTCAGTCTCCAGCCGTGGGTGTCTCCCGATGGGAGCATGGGGCGGAGAGAGCGCGCGCTTTTTGATTCCAAAATTCTACTTATTTATGTCACAAAGGAAGATTTGATTCGCCTGTCCCAGATGATTTCAGGATTTTTTGTCCACATTTATGGGCAACATTAATTAAATTTGGCTGAGAACGAGAGAACGATGGCGTTTGCTGCACTCAAGGTAAGTCAACTAAAAGTTTGACAAACCATTTCGGGTAACATGAATTAAAGCTTTATTCATGCATAACAATGTCGGTCAGACACGGATTTTTGCTCTCCGTAATTTGTCTTGTATACTCCGCAACTTGCCGTCCTAATGTGTTCGAACTCAACGAGCAGTTTACTAAAGGTAATATCTCTGAATTGGCAGTCACCAAAATTGATTTAAATGGTTATAAAAGAGACGTTTGGACGTTTCAAGCCCAAGATTGGAAAGATTTCGTCATGGAGTTTCATATTTGCATACGAGAGTGGAAGGTCGTCCCAAGAGTACTCCGCAATGAAGAGCTCTTGGAATTAACGCCTGCAGTCAATGGGTCTTTATTCAAGAGTGCGTGGAATTTCTTGGTGATGGAGCGTAAGCATCAAAACAGCTCCTTTGTTCTTTTTCGCGCCTGGCATGGAACAGTAGATTCTGGTCTATTCACAAAATGGCGTAAGCTACGATATTCCAAAACACGCATTGCTTATTACAGTAATTCTATGGCTACTCAAGCGCTCTTGTTAAGCGGTGATGAGGAAAAAAATTTCGCGCCTAGCCAGGGAAAGGCGGCAAGCACCAATAATAAATTATCCAGGTCGAAACCAACGGCGGCAAAGTGCGATCACTGTCAGAAAACAATTAGGTGGAACCAAAAGAACATTTCATGTGCCAATTGTATGGGATGTTTTCACTTAAAGTGTGTGTACCTGAAATCAGTGGTGAACAACTGGCTATGCAATAGATGCACATGGGCGGCTCTGCCATTCTACAAGTGTTCGGATGCTGAGATGCTCAACGAGGCCTGTTTTTCGGATACTGATCTTGTCACAAATAATATCACACTGACTGATCAGGGAGAAAATGGAACTACACTTAACACATTTACTGGTCCCGACCTACTAAATGCAGCAAGGCAGAAAAATGCCAAGGGCATGTTATTATGTCACCTAAATATAAACAGCATTCAGAACAAATTTGATGAGCTGAAAGATGTTATTATCAATAATAAGGTGCAAATTATGGCTGTCAGTGAGACTAAAATTGATCGTTCATACCCAGACTCCCAGTTCCTAATACCAGTGTACTACTTGCACCGAAATGACCGAAAAAAGGGTGGAGGTGGTGTTCTCTTGTTTGTCTCATCTAAGAAACTCTCCAAGAGAGTCACCTTTGACAGGTGTTATAAAACCATTGATCCTTTGGCCTTGGAGATTGGTCTCAAATCGAGAAATGCGATTATACTGGTTATCTACAGACCTCCTAAGAAGCTTACTGGTAAATACAGACTTCTACTTGAGGAGGAATTAAGTCATATTGCCAACTGGGCTTCAATATCCGACAGTTATAATAACAGGAGACCTAAACCTGAACAGGATGGAACGCAGCAGCCCTAAAGGAAAGCTTCTTCTTGATCTTACCGAACCCAATCGAATACAAATGAGAGGCTCTCTTATCACTAAGAGCTTGATCGATGTTATTCTCACTAAGCATCCGGAACTATTTGAGAATTGTGGGGTACAAGATCCTGCGCTCAGTGACCACGGACTTGTTTATGGATTCCTAAATGAGACGGTAAAACACCAGAAAGGCAAGATTGTAACATTTAAATCTCTAAAGGATTTTGATGTGGAGAAATACAAAGAAGATCTAATGTATGCTCCATGGCATGTTAGTGAAATTTTCAATTCATGTGACGACAAGGCAAATTTTATGGAAATGCTTCTGTCCAGTATTGTCAATACACATATGCCTACGAAGAAGATGCGGGTTAGGGCTAAGGATGTTCCATACATGACTAAAGAATGGAAAGGTGCCATAAGAGCTAAGAGGAGGGCAGCAAAAAAGTATCTCAAGGAACAAACCAGTGAGAACTGGGAAGCTAGGCGGATAACCAGAAACGAGGCCACCCGACTCCGGAGAAAGGCAATAAGGACATATTGGAAAGAGCAAGCCACTAAGCTTAAGTGCAAGCCGAGTGAGTTCTATAAGACATTTATGCCGCCCTTTCTGACTGATAAGCACAAGGTCAGCACAAATGAGCTCAGCCTAAGTATCAACGGGACCATCTGTAGAGACCAATGTGCGGTTTCTAATCACTTGTGTGAATATTTTGCTACTGTGGCTGATGGGATTGGAGACACCAGTGCGGTTGATGACAAAGTTCTCGCCACCCACCCTAGTGTCCAGAATATTACGCAGAAGATGACAGGATACCAAGGCTTCCAGTTTCAGAACCTTCAGAGTTTTGAAGTTGAAAAGGCGCTGCAAAACGTCAATGTAAGGAAGAGTACAGGCTGGGACGGCATCCCTCCCATGGCGCTCAAGCTTGGAGCTACTGAGCTAACAAATCCATTGACGTCACTATTAAATTCATGTATAACCCTCGGAGAGTGGCCCTTGGGATGGAAAAGGGGTGAAAGGACACCCGTTTTTAAGAAGGAAGATCCCCATGAAATGGGAAACTACAGACCCATAACTGTACAAAAAAACTGTAAACAAATTCTTTGAACAATTACTCAGCAAGCAACTCAGTTATGGTTTTAATAACAAACTGTGCGACAAACTAATAGCTTACAGGAAAAACAATGGCTGTGAGACAGCCCTCTTATCTTTGACTGAGAATTGGAAATTCGCTCTGGATGAGCATAACGTTGTGGGTGTTCTCTCCACGGACATGAGCAAAGCCTTCGATTCACTTTACCATCCACTTACACTTGCAAAACGTAAAGCTTATGGTGTTGAGGAAAGAAGTCTGCGATTGACGGGCTCCTACTTCACAGACCGTTATAACAGGGTCAAGCTAGGATCTGTAGTGAGCGAGTGGCAGAGGGTGACCAGGGGATGCCCACAGGGTTCCGCATTTGGACCTCTCATCTTGAATATCTTCCAAAACGATTTGACTTATACTGTTGATGCGAACATGAATATGTATGCAGATGACCACCAGTTTTATGTCGTTCGCAGCACCCTCTCTGATGTGCATGATGATCTTGCTGTTTGCGCTGAGTCAGCATCTTCATGGTACAGAGCTAATACTAAAGGGAAATTTGGACACGTACCAGACAATGGCACTTGGTTGCGGAAGGAAGTCTATGGACAGTATTATGATTGACAATCATGAAGTCAGATCCACTGAATGTCTCAAGCTATTAGGTGTCTGTATTGATAACAATCTTCGTTTTGATGAACATATAAGTAGTATCTCTAAGAAGAGCGCCCAGCGGGTAGGCGTTCTCATGAGGCTCAGGAACCTTATACCCACACAAACTAAGTTACAGTTATATAAGGCAGCTGTTCTCCCGTATTTAACCTACTGTCATCTTATATGGCATTTTTGCCGTGCTAGTGATTCTAGACGACTAGAGCGTATCCAGGAAAGAGCACTTAGGGCTATATATTGTGATAAACATTCGTCCTATGGTAAATTACTATCTATGGCCGGGCTATCTACTCTACACAACCGGCGACTACAGCACATAGCTATTCTCATGTATAAAGTTAAAAACAACATGTGCCCAACATACATTAGCACTCTCTTTGAACAGCCTGCAATTAAGTATGAACTGCGCAATCATGACTTCACTATACCCAGATTCAACACAGTCTCCTTTGGAAAGCACTCGCTCAGGTATATGGGCCCAAGGGTATGGAGTTCTGTTCCTAGTAACGTGAAAAAAGCTTCCACGTTGTCCTCCTTCAAATATAACATCAGAAAAGTGGATCTTAGCATGCTATTAGATGACAATAACTGCTCTAACTGCTCTCTTTGCACTTCTTAATCTTTTATTTCTTCATTTTTATAAGATAATGGATACATCTGTACATATTGTATATAGTTCTCTCGAATTTCTCACTTGCTTATACTGTACATAGTTTTTGTTGATTTTAATTAATTTATTAATTGATTTATTCTTTTTAAATTTATTTTAGTGTCCCCACTTAGTGGTTATATACCGCTATTACAGTTTTGACACTTTAATAAAGGTATCATCATCATCATCATCATCAAAGGAAGAGCGTTAGGAAGAGAAAAAAATTACACTACTTCATTGGTTTTCACCAACGACGTAGTCGGACTCGGAATCGTTAGCTAGAGCACCTATGACCTAGTGAAAATCAAAAATCGGATCGGATTCATAAGCGCGACGGAATCGGAGTCGGAAGCCATCAGAACGTTCCCATTTTGTTCCGACTTCTGTCGCTTACGATCAAGTGAAAACCAAATTGTCGGAGTCGGAAGGAGAGGCGGAACGATAAACCAGTCACAAGGCTCGTTCTACCTCTCCTTCTCCTTCTACGGGCCTGATACTCTTAAACGCTTTCGCATCGAAAAAAAAATAATAAAAAAGCAATAATATAATAATTGTTAATTTTCTGCCCTAATGGTAGAGGGGATTAAATTCCAATCCTTTTAAGTCCTTGGAAAGAAACTATAGAGGTAATAGTCATTGCGAGCGCAGGGTCTGATATACTTCGAGAGGCTCCTTGTTACACGCAGCGATTGTTGGTAATAATGAGGGAATGGTAAGGCGATTATGTTGTTGTAAGCTTGGTAGAATGTACGAAGACGATGGATTTTCCGTCCCACCCTTTACGATTGATTTAGTTCTTCAGCTTTTGCTTGCGACTCCGACAACCTGGTTTTAATCGTAAGCAACGGAGTCGTAAGCAGAATTGGAGGGCTTTTTTCACTTGATCATAACTCTTTACGCCTGTGATTATGACACCGACTGATCGTCAACAGGGGCACCCAACGACAATTTTCGGAAAATATCTGTTCGGAAAACGATTTGCGATCTACAATTTTCGGAACATTTGTTGTAAAATTTCTTGCTTACCTGCCTCTCCTAGGATTTTCGAACATCTGAAAAATGGTATAATTCCCCATTTTTAACGATTTTAACCCTTAAAAGCTCACCTAGAATTTTCGGGAGCCTTTTTTCTGGCTGAAATTTTCGGAAAGGTAAGTTTTGATCCCTATAATTTTCGGATCACTAGACTTTCAGCTAGGGAATCCGAACAGATGGAAAATTTCTAGGGGATAAAAATATGCCTATATCTACCGTTTAAATACTAAAATACGTTTCGTCTTTTGCAAAATTTAAGACAGGCAGGACGTTACGCCGAAAAAACTCTATTATTTTAACGCCTAGAAGCTCACCTTTTCTACTGAGGAATACAAAGCTGGGCACCCTCTACATAACAAGAGCTTTATTGACTTTACTGATCTTTTTGAAAGCGTGAAATTAATCAGCCAGAATATTTAATTTTGATTTTTCTCTTAAGTGTTAATTTTACGTGATAAACAGCAAGACATTTGTTCGTAACTTAGGTGCCCGTTACGAAACAAGACATGATTTAACATAAACACAAGACAAAATGCCCCCGAACTTATCAATGTCCACAGGTTTCGGTTTATTTCGAAATAGCAACTTTCTTACAGCTCATGAAAGTGTTGTGGATAGTTATATTGGCGCTTTTATGTATATTCATTTGTTGTGCCTTTGCTGAAGGCAGTTACCAGGAATCTAAACCTGGTAATGAGAAACACAAAGCCAGGTGAGCGGTAGTTATCGCGTGACAAAACATCGTAGGAAACCGTCACATTCACGGACTAAAAGAAAATCGCTTATGATTATTCGGATCCAGCAGGCACTTTGGAGAAAATTAAACAACCTAAAACCCTTATTTAGCAGCAATGAAGAGCTGACTGCATTTCAAAAGAGGTCAAAGGAAATGCTCTTGCATCAAAGGGCAAATCATGCCGACCAGAAACAACAATAATCGCAGAAAATGCATGTCATGACCTCTTAGTATGAAATAAGCGGCAAAAGTCACATTTGCTTTGAATGATTTTTGCCATTTAGTTTTTAGTCATATATTTATTTGAGAAGTAAAATTTAGCTTTTAATCTGACTTACTGTAATAATAATAAAATCGACACGATGGTCCGATAACTTGAGTCCAGGTCATTCCTATTTTTCTTTCGGGATCATTTGCGGTCGACTTTGGGGATCACTTGCGGTCGAGAATCATTTGCGGTCCATTTTGGGGATCATTGCGGTCTCGGGATCATTTGCGGTTGGGGATCATTTGCGGTACGGTACAGTACTGCCCTTTGCCGATCACACATTTGGATTTAGATCTAGACAGCCGTCCGAGCAAACTGTAAACTAAAGGCTGGGACAGGTGAGGAGCTACATGTTTTGCTAGAGCAGGTCATTTTCGTTACTCTAAGGTCTTTTCATAATTTGTCCAGTACCCTAGCTTCGAAAAGCGAATCATCTTCATTTCCCCTGTACTTTTACGCGGGATTTGGGGCCCTTATTCCCCGAAGAATCAGTTGTCGTAGCTCTTTGCTATTTACTTAACGATTGCAATTTTAGCCCTTCCACTGTCGAGTAATTTTTACGTGCAATGTATGAAAAACAAAACAATATGAACGTAAAAGTTGAACCTCGCTCAACTTCACGTTCAAGCTCAACAGTTCATATCTTGCCTCTATTTTTTTGAAGTGATTAAAATTTACGTGCGTGCACACTTACGTGAAATTTACGCGACAGTGGAAATCCTCCCTTAGATTTGTAACTGCCCGAAAAAAATACGTACCCGAGCTAAGTTATGGAGGCATACTCTCCATTTCAAGTAGATCACATATGCAATGTTTCTGGTGCTCAAGCAACTATCACAAACATTTACATTATAAACCGTTATTTGGCCTGTGTTTCTATTTAATCAAATTGGTCTAGATTCTATAAAGTAATAGAGGTTTTTGTGTTATCCAGAATAAGCAAGATCGAGGTGTGTGTTATCAGTTCGGCCGAAGGCCGAGATATTCACAAAACCGAATGTAATAATTGTTTTACTGATACACAGTTTTGAAGAAAATAAAGACAAACACAGCGTCGCAAGGAACCGAATTGACGTTGTTTTTGGAAATCACGCATTGCGCACATAACCTAAAGATTGGCAGTCAGTTATTTGCTAACGGATAACCAACTAAGCTGTAGGTTGCGCTGATTTCCAAAATTAACTGTAGGTTCTTAGCCAATGAGAAGACAGAAAATAATAGATGGTATCAAGCGTTTATTTACGCTTAATGCCTTGCTTTAGCATCAAAAAGCGATTCATATTGTTTGCAAAAAGGACGGCTATTTTAAAAGAAAAGAAAAATAGAAGGCAACAGACAATGAGATTCACTCGATGGCTTTATTTACATCGCATGTACATTCCATTTCTCATTTCAGTAAAATCCTGAAGTGTGAACACTGCTAATTGTTGTTGCATGATTAAACGTTTTTCAGGTGTCTATGTGAAAAAGAACTATCAAAACAGCCAACTGTCCATCAAGGTCAATATTTCAATGCTGTACATTCCTGAACACGGTGAAGAAGAGTAATTTGTCGATGAAATTGTACAATAAAAACTATATTTATATATTTGTGACATTGCTTAGCTTATGGACAAGGGTCCGAATCATTTTCGGCATCATTAGAGGGTCCTGCCGAGGCACGGGATGAGGACGAATCTGGACGAGACTTCGCCGAATCTTTACGAGAAGAACGGGACTTACCCGAACCAGCCCTCGATGATTGCTCGGACTTCGGGCTTGATTTGCGAGATCTTGGTTTTGGGCTTCCACTTTCGGATTTCTGCGACCTACTCGACTCAGGCCGCGAAGAGGATTGCTTTATCCCAGACGACGGTCGTGACGAGATTCGCTTTCCGGAAGGTGGTCGGGATGAAACTTGTTGAGCCGAGGACGGCCTTTCGGTTTCCTGTTGCACATCCGGTTGTTTTTCGGGTTGTTTCTCTTCCTTTGAGGGTTGTCCTTTGGGTTGTTGTTCCATGACGGTCTCTGTTTTCCCATGAATGATCCTGTGAGCTGCTACAAGATGTTTCCTTTGGCTTCGTTTTACTGTCATTGAAAAAACAAGTATTTCTGATCAACAAATTTGAAAAAAAAATGGTTCTCGTCATTGCTGACGAGACTTCAGTACAGCTCTAGACTGCAAGTAGTGTTTCATGTTGTCAAATAGTTAAACAAGCAATAAGGAGTGCTACAATCTCAGCCAAAATTGTTAGGCCTCTTAACTGTCTCCTCGCCCTGAGGTAGAGGATTTGGCGAGTTAACTGCGATAAACAACATTGGGAGGGTGGGGAGACGGGCGAGAAGAAAAAAAAAAAAAAGAGAGCCTTCGGTGGATGTGTCCCTGTGTTTTTGTCTGTTACTGTCGCTGCGTTAGGCTACTGTCTTTGCTTTGCTTTGCTTTCCTTTAAACCAAAGGAGGATTTCCACTGTCGCATAATTTTCACGTACGAACGAACGTAAATTCACGGCGCCTAAATAAATTGAAGCACTGTATGAAAGGTCGCGCAAGTTGTCAACTTTTACGTCTACATTGCCTCTATTTTATTTGCAAGCGTAAATTTTACGTGCGTGCACAAGTTAAAATGCGAGGAAATCCACCTTGAAAGTTGACCTCTCCTCAACTTTAACGTTTTGATCTTTCGCACAATATCTCTATTTTATTTACGCACGCAGGTTTTTTGCGTGTACGCACGTTAAAATATACGGCGGATTTCCACCCTTATACGCAATCTACGCATCAATTCTTACCGTTTTCTCGCATAGTAATCTTTTGAACTTCAGGTAAGAGGAATGAACTAACAAGCTCGGCGACGATTTCTTCGGACTGCAGTTTGGTTCGCCTACAAAGGGAAAATCAAAGCCATTAAAGGCAGGTTAGTTTTCGTATTTTTCTGAACGCTTTTCGTATTTTCTCAAAGATGTCTTTCAAACTAAACTCTGCATCCCGTCTTCTTATCCTTTTTTTCTGTTTTTAAGGTCATCTTTTATAGACGTTTTACATCATTAAAGGTCTCTAATTCAGCTTGGAAAGACTGATTCAGATGTTCTTGTTATCGTAGCACAATGGTTGTGAATCAAACTTTCAAAAAAAATTCTCACGTTTTCTCCATATCGTAAGCGATCTGGTTAATCTTTTCTGCCTGCTCTTGGATTTCCTTACGGGCCTGTTGAAGAAAAACAACGGTTAAAAAATTTAACAATTGCCGTTTTTGGTCAAGGAGGTGGTCTTTGAGCGTTAGCATTTATTAAAAACTATTGTGAAGTACTGTCAGAGTCAAGTTTGAAGAAGGTATCCTTATACTATACTAGATGGTGCTGCTTCACTTGCTTGCCAAGAAAGTATTTCCCACCTGTTGCTCTGCAGTCTGCTCGATGGCTCCCATGATGATATCTTCAAGGTAAGTATCAACTGTGGACTGGTGAACCTTAACAACCTGACAAAATAATCAATCACAAAAGTTAGACTACGCGTAGTCTTCAATGAGCCATAGAAAGATACTACTACTTTACATATCCTCCTCCTTTCGACCTTTCGAAGAATATTTAATCGTGTAGATTGTTTTGAGGAAATTAAGACTGTTAAAACGTCAGTTCTTGGTACAAAGGAAATGATAAATTTATAGGTAGCAAATTACTATACAAAAGATGTCTACGTATAATTGTCAACACAATGAAAAACGTTTTCCGTATTTATATTCCATTTTTATTATACCTCGTCACGAATTCAATTATTAGGATTCTGTTACGTAAGAGGGAGTCTGTTTTACTACGACACTTGTGAGTTCTGGAACCCTGGCTTCGGCCTTCGGCCAACATCGAAAATTTCCGCCGCACGCGAGAAAAACCTCTGGTACCGAGGGTAAAGGGGTTCTGCGTACGGCAATTTATAATGACATTTTAAATTTAAAACGCCACGATAACATAAAATCGTTGAAAACAAGGACTATAAATAAAGTTAAAACATGTTGAATTTATAGTTCAGCAAACTTTGAACCATAATTTTGGAATGATCACAAAAAGAATTTGCTAGAACCCAAAATGTTTATACAATCAAAAAAACGTGAAAACTGGTTTCCATGGCCGAATGACTCAAAAGCAGTGGCAAAAAGCATTAGTGAAACTGATATCGCATCTGATTAAAACAAAATAATTGCTGGACATTAATTTTTCCATCTTATTTTAATAATCTTTATAATTCCGATTGTGTCTGTACGGGGTTCTGTAAAAATTCCCGACTATGAATTAAATGAGCGTCCCGGAAATGAAAAAAGAAAAGCAAAATAGTAACTATAACTTTGAAACATTCCTTGTTAAGAATATTCACTTTTAGGCTATTAATCTGAATCCAGTTCAAAATAAAAGAGTGGCTAACGAGCATTCAAAACTGGTGAGATTTGTCAAAACATAAAAACGGAGCTTAAAATTATTGTCTTTCTAGAGAAGTCCTCCTGGCATAAACACGCAAGAGTAGTGTCCCGGTCAAAACAGCGTGCCTTCAAACGAAGTGGAAAATTGAACGCCCTAGTTTCACAAGTATAGCTCCCGTTTATTCCTTAGTTACCCTAACGCAAGAGTTCACCTGTTTAAAGACTTCATCTTCTTCGCGTCTTCTTCTTTCCTCTAATTGCCTTCGTCCACTTTCTTCTGCTTCTCGGATTCGTCTCTTCCGCTCGGCCAACATGGCGAACGCGTGGATGCGTCTTTCTTCCTAAAATGTGGTCAACCATAACACTTAATTTTTCTTTTCCAATTAAAGAAGAATGCCCTTATGGCGAACAAAACTGAGGCTACGTTTTGAGGTTCAATTTCATCCTTGGTTTAGATTATGCTTTTCTTTGTTTCAAACTCATTATCATACATTACTATAACCCAAAACAAAGGAAACAACATTTGAGACAAGGGTAAAATTTATCCATAAAAACTATACATCTAAAAGCATTGACCACAGAACCCTGTGAGGTCTATAATAGTACAATACACAGGCATAATAGGCACTTAGGTAATGTAAATGTTGCAAAGAATTTGATAACATGTGGGTAAGGTACATGATTTTGATTCGTCCACAAACGTTAGCAGCAAAGCTGTGAAAGAATGGAGCGCTTTTGAGACTGGGTGATTATCCGCACGCAAAAAAGCAAGTTAATAATGAATTATTGCAAAGCATCAAGGAAATTTCGCATTTAGAATGCCAAGTTTAGGAAGATAGCTTACAATAGAGGTTGAAAGCTACTTTTAAATGAATTAAAAACAATCATAACGTGTCTTTGAGATTCAGAATGGTTTATTACTGGGAAAATTATCTGAAATAAATGTTTGAATTAATGGTGTATTATTGAAAAGTGAAAAAGAAATTACAAATTGTTGCGAGTCAGGCCCCATTTATATGGAGAAAAGTTATCCCGGAAAAAGAGCCGATCACCCTCCCAGCCGAGTCACCTCTAACAATCGTTTACAAGAGAAAAAAGTTGACCCCTTCAGGGTTTTCGGTAGCATTTGAAAGTACCGGGAGAAGTGGTTCAGCTGGCGGACGTACACCCGCGCGAACGTTGAGTGCTGCAGGCACGAACTTCTAGGGGGTCCGGGGGCATACCCCCCGGAAAATTGAACTCTCTAAAATGCAATTTCCTGCGTTCCCTGGACCGGAACTGGGTAACCGGAATTATGACAGGAATCATCTCTTTTTTTTTTCGATTGTGTGCATTACATAACTAAGTGAGTAAAATAAGGGTCAAGTCTTTCTTTGGTTAATAAACGGGAAAAAAAAACGACTTTCACACTTAAAAAAATAATTATTTCGTATATGAACTACCGGATGTTACTTGTCCAAAAACCGGACGTTGCGTCCGGCGTCCGGCCTGAAACGAAACCCCTGCCCCTTTGAACAAGCCAACAGCCCTAGCGCATGCTCTAATTGTCTTTCGCCTTGACCGTGCGAACCAAAGAGTTAATAGAGAGCTTCAGATTTGAGGACGAGAGCGAGTACGAGTACAAGATTTAACTTCAAGTTTTTGCGCGTGTTCTCAAACAAAAAGACTCCCCGGAGAGCTTCATTTTACGTTTTTTCACCGAAAAAGTTAGTACAGTTAATTACACTGAAGGAGATTAAGCCCTCTCCCGATAGCAAAATGATAAAACTTTTGACGCTGGCACACGCGCGTGCACTACTTAATACTGAGAAAATCTCGTACGAGCAGTCGTCCTTGTCCTCGAATCTAAAGCTCTCTAATAATATGGAAAAAAATAGGCCCGGAAAGGAGGGTGACCCGGCTAGGCGGGTCACGCTTAATTTTTGTTAATCATAGGAAACGTTGGCTCGCATAGGGTAGCTCGGGTAGGCGAGTCACCCTACTATCCGGGATAAGTTTTCTCCATATAAAAAAGCTGTGTTCACGAAAAAAGGTCAGTGGTTGCAAATAATTTTGGAAGCTGGGACATTACTGGGAAATGTATCATGAAAGAACAATGCTGCGTTCAGGAAAATTATGGAAAAGTGGTCTTATAGTTAAAGATTGGCGTTGATTATTTTCTGTTATTACTCGTGTTTCTTACCTGAAGTCGGATGAGCTCCTTACTCAAAAAGTCAAACATATCAGCTAGAGTGGAGCCCTCCATTTGAGATAGTGCTTCTTCAACAAACGAGTCCTGCAAAAAAAAAAAAAAAAAGAACAAAAATAAATAAAAAAATAAATAAACAACACAAAACAAACAGCTTGCTTCGAAAGTCATGGAAGCAAACTGAAACTTGCAGTCTTGTTTGGGAACTTGGCAAACAATTTCTCAATAGCTGGCACTTTATACACATATACGGCAAACGGCAAAATCAGATTCAGGTTGAAAATTTCTCAAATTAGGAAAGCAACCGATAAAAACATTTTCTGTCTAAAATAATTCGTATGGATGAAACTAGCATGAACTAACATTTTTGAGTAGATAAAATGAAGAGCAAAGGGAAACTTGATTTTGCGATCACCTTGTCATACATGTCGACGTTTGCCGTTGGGCATAAAGGTGATTCTAAATCTCTCTAATCTCAATATAAGAGCTCGGAGGCATGTTACATGTAACATCATACTAAACACAAGAACTTTCGTTTCCTTCCTTCCTTTCACAATTTACAGTAAATCCCTAACGTACTAATATCCCCTAACTCAAGCATCTCAAAACACCACAACGGATAAGCAAGGTAAATTTCAACCAGGGTGCCCGAGCCTCGTCATAAGAAACGCTTTGCGCCTACTGTGGACCATTCTCGGGGGCAAAATATTTACGGGCGAGATCGTTGTGTCGCCGCTAACTAATATCTCGACTCGATTAGGTGTTCTTTGAGAATGGTTGTAGGTAAAAGGTACCTTATTAGTGTCCAGTCTCCTTTGTCGCTGTAGACTTAACACGGACTGTCGCTCATTTCTCTTTTCCATTTGCCCAGCTTGTTGAAGAGCATGCGTACTTCGTAACTCTTGAATCAGTTCTAATCGCTTCTCTTTTCCTTCGAACATCTAAAAAGGAAGACACAGGGAAAGATTTCGTTGCTTGGAAATCGTAAAAAGGCAGGAAAAGGTTAACGTTGACGAATTAGCTACACGAGTCAAACGTCCACGAAGACAACAAAGTCTACAAGACAAATGACATTATTTGGATCGTGCAGCTAAATCCCTTCGTCTGCGAAAATCCACAGGAAAAAAGTTCACATATCGAGGGAAATTACATATAATGCACATCACTGAGAAAAAATCATTATTAACTCAGGGGGAAAAAAGACGAAATAACGGTAGCTTGGAGTCTATGGATCGGAGTTACCGCCCAATTAATAATAATAATATTAATAATAATACTAAAATTTTTATAGCGCGCATCCAGTAATTAATGGATTCAACAAAAATACGGACTCGTGAGCGAAGGTTCACGAAAAAATACTCACCATATTCTGAATTGCCCGGCCACGGAGAACTTTCTGCAAGAATATTAAAGCAAGCTCCTCTTCCTCTTCAAACTGAAACACAAACCAAACAATTTGTCAGGGATTACTAGGTACATGTTATGGATTAAAAAACGCGGGAGAAAATGTTCTGCAAATAAGACTGATGAGTGTAAGAGAAACGAGGAATTACACTCGCGTATGATTCACTTGTAGATTACGGTCTGTCTACTTTTACCTTACAAAGTAATGTGGCATGGTTGCCGACAAACATGAGACAAGGAAGCACAGAGACCATCTTTGCGCTGAAAATATTTATCAGTTTTTATCGCTCTTACTGTTACCTGCTCTTTCCTAACTCTTAAGAAACGAACAGTGAAACTTCGATTTAACGAACCAATATATAACGAAGTCCTAGATATAACGAACATTTTGGTTGTTTTTTCGAAAATTTGTTTAATCGAGATGTTGGATATAACGAATCCTCGATATAATGAACAAATTTCCCAGTCCCTTGGTACTTCGTTAAATCGAGGCTCCACTGTATGCCAGTATTGTATTATTTGCCAAAAAGAGTAAGTTTTTTTTTTCTTGCGAAGAATAATTTGCATCGTTTAGAACTTACGACGTGGTTGGCTCGCTACATTTCTAATATGTGATTCGGTTGAGAAAGAGTTCCAGCACAGGTTAAATGTAAGCTAATCGTCAATTGAGACCTGAGTGCTGCGAGTGTCGAGTCAAGCTATCCGAGACAGAATTAAAAACTTCAGATGAAAGAAATTTAAATGCTGATCTGGCCGATCTGTTTCCCTACCTGGGATGGAATCTCTACAGAAGGAGTAGGCGGACGTGGAATCGGCTTCTCTACCTTCACCAAGAACTTGAGCGGTTTCTCAGGCTCTGGTGGTCTCTTAGCCAACTCAATCGCATTAGCCACCTCTTCTAACTCACGCTGTCGCCGCTGCTTTCTCTTCACAAATCCTCCTTTTCCACTTGATTTTGGTTTTGGAGCTTGAATTCTGGGCTGAGTCACAAAATCTGGTAATGAGGCCTCCAGTTCTAACAGACCCTGATAGGTATTTAAGTGGTAACTTTTGACATTAAACTGTTCAGAGCCGCGGTCTAGAAACACGCCAACGCGCGACATGGGAGCATAGGTCTGGGAGTCATAGTTGGAATAGTCTTGTACTATTTGCCGTCGCTCTAGTTTGCCTTCCACTGTTCGCCGTTTTTCATTCAGTTTTCTGACAGCTGGAAAAAAAATACCGCTACTATTATTGCCCTGTTCAACTGTACCAGTACAGTACAGTACAGTTAAAATCCTCTAGACGGTAAACCTGTTACCATGGAGTTGTACTGGCGACTACACGGTCGACCAGTGCAGCGAAACCACTTTCATCTTGTGTAAAACTCTTTGTCTGCTCAATGGAGACATTCGATAATTTAGAGATATTTATCCAAGGGCCTCGTTTGTATGGACGCCTGGAATTCGCAAACAGCATCTTCTTTGTCAGCGTAGTGTTTGGACAACAGCAAACATGACCGATATATTTTAAATATTGGCTCCTAATCATATTTCTAAGACTGTTGTTTTTTGTTATGTGTAAAATGTCTGCTTTGAGATCGGCGAGCAACAAAAGGTCCGATCTGTAATCTAACTACATGTATATATTGTACTTCTAACATCGTTATTTTCACTGTAAGTGTTAAATATATGAAACGGTGCTGTTTCCTGGGTTACTACATAAACCGTAGCCACAGCTGCACACTACCCAATAATTATTTCTATGAGACCACGCTGTTTATTACTTATACATGTTTAGTTATAAACAGCCCTGCTACGCCGCAAAATGTAATATTAGCGCAAAATGTAATAAGAATCGCCGTAAAATGTAATATTAACGTAAAATGTAATAACATTGACGCAAAATGTAATGAAATTTTCAACGCAAATTAAATAACTTTTGTCCATAATGTAATGACGAACGAATAACGAAGTGCATGCTATTTCAAAATCGGTTTATGGAAACCTGATCAAGATCTTCATCGTTATTATTATTATTATTATTATTATTATTAAATAGTTATCATAGATAAGATCGTTTTGCGGGATAAAGAATTTGTCCTTAAGACTGTAATTCAAGGTCATAGTCAAATAGTTATCACAGACAAGATCGTTTTAATGTGTTCTGTTTGAATTCTTTGAAATTTTTTCTCTTTTTCTTGTTGTTTGTTCGACCTGAAAAAAGATAAAACAGGCAAAAAATGACTTAAAAGCCATGCACCGCGCACAAATTTTGCTTAAGTGCTATGATTAGCGATCCCACTCTCCCCGATCATTAATCACTAGTTAACAATCATATTAAGGTAAATGTTTTTATTCGGTAATCAATTGTTTAATTAACAGTATTAAGTTTGCTATTGTCCTAGCTCATTCTACCAACATCTTGTGTCGCATTAAAAGGGGATGACACTGAGCAAAGAAAAGCAGTTATAGGAGAATATTATGGATCTGTTTTACTTGATTGGTTCGACGCGTAGCTACGCTTCCTAAGTTCGACGTACGTCTGGCGGACTCAACAGACGATCTGGGTCGACCCAAATTACTAGTAGACAGTGATTAGAGTTTCATAAAAAGTTAATATCGACGTTTTTCCTACGCCTTACAGAATATCAAGGAAATCATGGTTACATCCAAGACTTCAGCAAACTATAAGTTGTGGTTCATAAACTGACCATAATCTGTCAAGTCTCTTGGTATTCAGTTCTGCATGGTCCTCTTCTCTCTGTTCAAGAATTCTCTTCAACACTTCAAGTCTTGCTTCCTGTAATCTTAGAAAAAGAAAGAGAACAATTAGTTTGAGGGGGGAAACGCATACTTCTGTTAAACGAACAATAAGATACTTGTAAGTAGAAACAAACCCTGTAACTAATTGCAGGAAGATACATGTATGAAATAGTTGAAGGCAATATTTAAGGCAGATCTTTTCAACACTAGCAAAACAAAGAATGTGACTCTGTAGCGACTTTGACTTTGAGATGTTTACAGTACAACAATACTTGAATGGGCACTTTGTGTGATTTCATAATATACTTGACTAAATTTTGTCAATTTATAAAAAACTGATTTATGTAGACGTTAAGATTATTGTACCATAGCTAGCCCATCACATAGGCTAATGGGTATATCTGTTTAAAAATCCGATAATATTATATCATAATCATTTTTGACAGTTGCGGATAATGACAATTTTGCAAGATCCTCACTTTTCAATCTCTTGTTCTCTGAAAGCCCATTCTCTTCTCTCTTGTTCATCCATCATCTTCTTTCTTTTCTCAAGATTTTCTGTATCATTTAGAGCTGGAAGAGTTGCCTCCCTAAAAGAGAACAAGTATCAAGCAAAGATGTTGTAAATTTACTACCTTCAAATTTTCAGGGATACGTATCTGTTGCCTGCCTATCAGCCAATCACAAGGTAAGTGGATGCTGTTTCAAACAGCATAATTATGGGCATGTTGCAATGTCGGGAAAGCATGTGCTGCACTACATTACTGTTTACATGGCTTTTGTGACAAAGGGACTGATGGACAGGGATTTCCCCTGACTATAATAACCTGTACACAGTGTACCTACTAGGCTGCTTTCAGTTAGTAGATAGAAACATGTTAACAACACATAGATATGTCAAATCTAAGCCTATTCTATTCTATTTCCCTACCCTCTTTAAATGATAGTGACAGCCATAGATCACCACATCAAAGAGGATTTCTACATGTAACACTGCTGATCTTGCTGTTTTCTGGTATAATTTTATAAAGTTTGATTGTCTCAAGCAAACCTGACCAGGGCGGTAGCAAGTTTTCTTGTAATGGGGGGGCATTATCGCATGTGCCAAAGGCATGAGCCTTGTAGGGATGTCTGCTGGTATCCTCCCCCAGAAAATTTTCAAATTTGAAGGCTACGAAATGCTGTTTTCAGCACTTGTCATGAGATATGTGTCCGAAAAATCCACCTCGAATAAGTGTGGAAAGCAGGTGTTTTCAGTGCTTGCAAGTGCTTATTTCCGAGGTCCTGTTACTTTGAAGTACACCATATATCCAAGCACTAGTACACTAAACATTTCACAATATTTACTGCATGATGTTTGGCTCACTAACCTTTTGCTTATATACTATTTGCACACACCATGGACCAACCAATTTCTCGGCCATGAAAATGGCAAACAATTGCAAGTCACTACAATCAAAATGACTGAGTCTAAAGAAAACAAATCCATCCACAGACTTGATTTGCCTGGTTCAACAGGTCTGGGGGGGGGCAGCTGCCCCCCTTGTCCCCCCCTGTTAGTTACGCCTCTGCTGACAATTTTAAGGTATTTTCAGACTACTGAAAAGGGGAAAGTCTTTCAAACAACTTACCAAGCTCGTTTAGCCCTAGCTCTCTCAATCATCTCAACTTCTGCTAAACCCGCTGGCAAACCATGACCTACAGGAAAGATTCTACATGTACACGTCACATTGTTTTTCACCCAAGAATACATAGCTTGCATTTGCAAAGCATAAAATGCATATTGCAAAGGCTGTTGTCTAAGAAATCTTTCTAGGAGCCCACCAGGCCAAACGATACAAAGTTAGGAGATCATACTGTATGAATATTATTGTTAGATGTTCTACAGCCAAATGTTATGAATGTAATCTACTGAAAAGATTAATTTCCTGCTCTGAAAAAGTAATATAAAATTAGGACAAAGCTTCTGACACAGAGCAAAGAGTTTTATGCCAAAAGATTTTCACACTGTCTCAAAGTCTCAATCATCTGATCTACCAGTAGATTATCAGTCAGGCGCTCATCTCTTGAATGGCCGTTCTGGACCTACCACTTGAATGTATACACTGCTTTCCAAAAATTAAGGACATGTGATGAAGGATCACCTGACTGATATGCTAGACCACAAAAATGAGGAAAACAGGATCTGCAAGTCTTCATACTCCAAATTTTTATTTTTTTTTTGAGTGAACCACTGTAATCTGAGACCCTGATTTTAGTCTTGATTAATTTCTGAGAGGATCACATTAAAATTGTTGAGACCATGAATTTACACTGTGCTTACACATGTCAGTCACAAAATAAGTGAGCTATCTAATTACAACCTAAAGAACATTCATTCTGTAGTAAGACACTTTACAGTACATATATAAATATGTACTGTGTACAATGATCACACGATGTAGTATATATTATTACCATAGGAAAGGGTTGCCAGTGTGAGCAGTTCAGGTTGTGAGCCTGGTCGTACCACATACTCTGGTGTGTAAGGGTCTGTTTGTGTTTCACTATCCCTGTAGTCTGTTTGCACCTCTACTGTACGTGTAGCTGGGGTTGGAGGCCTCTCTGCTTCCAATTCAGGACCAGCAAGTGGGTCTAACCTAAAAGATGGTGCAGTAAATCTGTAAGTTATTATTTAAATAAAATTAATGTATTGATCATCAGTATCTAAATAGAGAAACATGGTCTTCTAAGTAAGAAAGACAGAACACACACACAAAAAACAGACTTCTGCTCCGAGTCAATTTAAGCTAACTTATAGTGGAGCTCTCTGAGGAAAAAAATCCCGTGGGAGCTATGCTTTTTGCACCAGGCAAATGTGAATGTCATAACCGGCTATACTGTAGCACCTAAAAGACGACTTTACGTATACTAGAAGTATACTACATTTACCAAGAGTATACTTTAGGTTTACCTCAGTTACTGTAGAACACCGTATAGTTGTAGTGGCAATTTTTTGAAGTATACTTGAAGTATAACTGCTTATTTTCTTTCCAGGTGAAGTAGAGTTTAAGTATACTTAAAAAGAACTTCACAAGTGCCATTTTATCCTGGTTGCAGGATGAAGAAGGAATTAAGTACTTTGAAACTATACTTCTGCAAAGGCGAATTCTACTTTAATTAGAAATACACCAAAAACTTTATAGGATTCTCTCTTTCAGGGCAAAACTGATGTGAAGATACATTTTGGTTTAACTGTGACATTAAAACAGAGGCAGACAATTCATTTTTGCAAGCATGTTCAGACTCTTATATTGGGCTGATATGTAGTACATTCTTCCAAAGCAAGAAGAAAACTAGTGTTGTAGCCAGGCTAACAAGTGATTGACTGGCTAAAATAATACACTAAGATGTGAATTTAATATCAGTCTGTGTTATGCAGTGGTATTGCCTTGCTTTGCATAGTACATGTAGTATAAGCAGCATTTGTTCACAGAATTCTTGTGTTGTTGGAGATGAATAATTCATCTCCAGCGACACAATTAATGCATGGATCAGTATCACTGACTTAACTTTCCTGGGTTAAGTATCAAAATGTTCTGCATTTCAATAGACAGCATGCAATAACCTTGACTTCTACTGCCTTCGAACAAAAGTGTTGAACAAAGTAGTATGTATCTTACCTGGATGACTGAAGAAGGACATCTGGAGGAACTTGCTGCAAGAATGGGATGATTGGTCTGCGAAAATACTTGTATCTGTCTTGGCCAGAAACAGGAACATGAGGATAATCCTTGGGAGGAACTTGAACTGTTGGATCATAATTAAATCTACACAGGGAAAAAAGGTGCAGGGTAAATGAAAATTACAGTATAAGCATTCAATAAAAATCTCACAACCCTAAAAAATCCCTACATTTTGGATTTATCCTCTATTTAACAATAATCATTACAGTAATATTATACAGTCATACATGTATGTATAATTTTCTGTAGTTCTAAAAGAATAAGTCAAAATTACGTAGTGTATCTGATGAGAGCTTCTCTGTTTTGTTCTGCATATCCCCTCCACTGTCGAGGAATAAATTTGGGAACTGGGTCTGTTACTTCCAAGTGAATACTGTATCTTGGATAGTGGCGCAAATCGCTAAACATTGTCTTGAAGTGTGGTACCCGTTTCTGTGGAAATAACACCCAAAAAAGAAAAACATCATAACATAGAGGTGTGTACACTGTAAAAAAAAACCACACACATAAAGTTTTTCTTCCAAGAAAGAAAAATATTGTGAGCTACCTGCATGCAAGATAACCAGGTTGTGCAAAAGAGTTTATATTCCAAATTATTTGGCAGAACTTTTGGATTGTTGTATTTATTTCTTGTGATTTTTCAAACAAGAAAGTTGATTGTTTTGGTCATTTTTTCATGCTGCTATTACATTGTAGGAGTGGAGGTTTAAAAGCCATGGCTTTAGGAGTCAGGAGTCGCCGCCTGTTAAAATAACAGTGGACAGCAACAACTTCAATAAACTTACGAGTGGTTCACATGTACAGTCCTCCGCACTTTTTAATAAGTACATGTACTTACAATTCTGTCAGTTCCAGTATGGGCCTTGAATGTGGATCTGGCATGATCCCTGTCACTTGACAATGAAAACAGAGGATCTAAAAGAAACAGGAGTTTTCTTTGTCATTGGATTGAGTGAACCACCAATTAATATAAATGATTCTAACTTCAAGTAACCTCAAGGTCGGTAGGAATTTGCTAAAATGATAGAAAAAAAGGACATAAAAAAGGACACCATAGCCATTCTGTTCTATTTTGTAGAAATTTGGATTCTTTAACTTTTGATTCCAAACACTTGGTTCAAGGCGTTTACTTTTTATAACTTTCCACTTCTAATTAAGAATAAACATTAATATTACCGTAAAATGCAGCAAATTGGTTTGGGTATTTGTAGAAAGTGTTATCCATGGAATAATCGATACTTTTACAGGAAACGTAAACTTTAAACAACTTTCTGTCGTTTATATATAGCTTAGCAAGGGTAACTGATTTCCTAAAAAAGTCTGAGAATTTCTCACCGTAAAGATAGTCATGAGTCCTAGATGGCTGCAATTTTCCGTGTGTTACTGTTTGCGTCGAAGACATGGTGATCCCGCCACAAAAATTTGCTACATTCAGGGAGAAAAATTGCTTGAAGTTCTATCAAAACAAGATGGCCGGCGCGAAACTTACTTTGTAAGTTGCCATAGTGATGAAACAGTTTACGCACTACTAGAGCCCATGCTCGCGCGATGCTCGAATTGTTGTCATATCAACACAGTGCAGTGATCGTTCGACGGATCGACTGAAAACTAACAATTCAAATACCGTATCTGTTGTTGCCGACATGGCTTACGCTTCTCAGAATGTAATGCCTTTTGTAAGTGAACTTAGAGCGACGGGACATGGAGAAGTTTGGGATCACACAGATGAAAAAAAGTTACAACAGTTTGGTTGGAGATGCACAAACACAGAGAGTTCGTATAACACAAGCACTCTAATAGGAAACTGGAATGAACAACGATTTGATATAAACAGGATTTCAAAACCAAAACCTATTCCTTCACAGGTAAGATACTTGTTATAGATGTACACACGTTAACACATTTGTATGAACCATAAAATAATGGACAGATCAGCTTAATTTATTCTGGCGGCCGTACGATGAAAAGACCTCTTACAAGATTTTTTTGATTTAATTTTCCAGTATAATCATTACTTTGAGACAACTTACGGTTCTGGATACAATACAGTCGATACCAATAAAGTACCAGAATCCTTGAAGCATCTTGAAGGTAAGTAAAAGTTTTTTTTTGTTATGCCTCAGTACAAGTCTATTGCGTGACAAAGTAATAGTGGATTGTGTTACAAATACCACGACTCGCGCTTCGTCCTTTTGTTGTCTAGTAGGCTGATGATGGCTTTAAATCAAACCGAAATACTTTCACTTACCCGCCAACCTTTACCTACCATTTGGGATTTTTTTTTTCAAATGACATAAAAATAAAACATGCAAAGCCTTCTTATCTTTGCTCTGAGGTAACCAACCAGTGTATTTGAATCCGCAACAACATAAGCATAGGGAAATGACAGTATGTGCTGCTGGATCAAGTATCACTTGATTAACAAACCTGAGGCTGGCTATGCGCTCATTTTAACCCCCTTTCTCTGTTAGCGCTTCCTTTTACTGGTATTTAAATCTACTAGAAGCTCCATGGAAAGGAAAGAAGTTGTAATAAGGATTTTTGGTTACACCTGAGGATGGAACTTGGGGCCTCCCACATGGAAGGCTATGCACATACCAACTGTGCTTATCCTTCCTTATCATGTGTTGCACTTATTTCATTGTCACACTCAAAACAAATTCTTGATCAACTGGTTCAAATTTAATTCTCAAACTCATTAATAATTCATAAAGAAAATACAAAGAAAATTAATGTTTAATGAGTGTTTGGAAATCGGATGAAAAACTGCTCAGTATTTGCATCCTTAATTTCTCCTTCAAAAATGATTTTGTTTGAGAAGAAATATCAAACATTCGACACCGTGTTTCATCACCAGATGAAACACCTCGAAGTTTGTCAAAAATACTCCGCTGCGCGTCGTATTTTCAACTCTCTTCTCGGTGTTTCATCTGGTGATGAAACACTGCGTCTCATGTTTGATATATTACTTCAAATTCATGATCAAATGAATATTTTAAAAAAATTATTTTGTTTTTTCATTTTAGCAAGGGAGCCAACTGCATTTCCAGGCCATCAACCTGAGCTTGACCCTCCACAGCTCAAGAAACAATATAATTCATTGTTAACTACATCCAGAGCTGCCTTTGGTGATCCTAAACCGACACAAAAATAAATTAAAGAAAGGACATGATATGGATTTTTAATGAATTTTTGCACGATTCCATCAAATTATTGAACAAGGGTTTTATTATAAACGTATACAAGAAAATGTTTTTCACCATTAGAGCTAATGTTTAATATCTTATGATGAATCTGAATTAAAGTTTTCACCCTTAAATATGTCCATATCTTGCAAATATTTGTACAAATTTTCAATTGTTTTAAAAATAATTTTTTGCAACATGTAAAAATGTAGCTGCTGGTTCTATTAAAAGATACAACCTCATTTTTTACATTAAGATAAACACAAAAGTGAGAAAATTACAATTTCAATAAAGGGCAAATGAAAACTATACACAAGCGTTTTTTAATGGTTTTGTTTAGAAATGTTCATATCAACACTGTCTTCTTGCCTGCACTAATAAGGGCACAAGCATTCATGAAAAATACCAGACAGAAAAATGAAGTGTTTGTGTTTTTCTGAACTCTAAACAGTCACTCAGTCTCATGTCATATGCGTATAGGCGTAATTCTTTCAAGGTGTAGTCTTTTTGCCTAATCCTGCCTTTGCTCTCATGAATAATTGCAATCCTCTTGATAAAGGGGTTGACTCTTGTTCTTGTTCTTTTAGTTTCATCTCTGCCATATCTGCCAGGACATTGGCAACTTGAAATTGAATCTGTTGGCATCTGAAAGTACAAGTGCCTTAATTAAAACACAGCATGCAATCTTCCAAGCAATCTGGAGTAGATACTAAAGTCATTATACTGTAATTGCAAACAACTTGTACAGAAGTCATTTCCTCTCTTTAAACATGTCATCTTCATAGCAAGTTACAATATTTATACTGTCGTATTTTACTTATTTTTCATGCTTTCTTGAGACTCTTGTCAGTGGTTCTAATGGTATTATTATTATGTTTTAATACCATGAGCAGACCTTCCAGTTTCATTTGCAAAAGTGCTCCACAATGCAGGGCTAGCTGTTGCTAAAATTTCAAGTTGCCGGGTATTCAACAATTATTCCTTGAGCCCATATGGGCTCTAAGTAAATAGCCCATGAGGCCTAAGGCCTAATGGGCTATTGACTCAGAGGCCATGAGGGCGAGAGGAATAACTATTTTAGTAAAATCCAACTAGTTGGTCAAATATATTGAGACAAAACAACTTTAGCTGTAGTTAAAGCTAGACTTGAGGCTCTTGTTTTGGTTTTCAACCAATCAGAATGCAGCATTGATAATAGACAACTCGTTGGATTTTACAAAATGCACTAATTAGTAAGAGGGGCTGGGAAGTTCTTTTGATTCTATTTTCCTTTTGTGTCCTATAAGAGTAGCCGGGGAAAATCTCCGGCCCCCGACTCTTAGCCAACAGCCCTGACAATGTGTCTACAAATACAGAGAGCAGCGTCTGTGAAAACTCTGAGACATAGGCCTAGTATTGGAGTTTCACTCTAGATTATGGGCTTCTGACAGTGGTTACATTGTACAGTAATTAACTGTGTTGCTTGGTTAAGTATCATTACCTGTGCATGTAGAGGTCCAGGTGATCTGATGTAGTCAGAAATGCCTCTATCCAGGTTAGATTAGCACAAGGGTCAGACATAATTACAAAGTCATCATGCCTCAGTGTCTCCTGAAAGCTGTGTGTCATCTCTTCAAAATTGGAATACTGGCTGTTTTTCTTTCAAAAATAAACAAACAAAAAATAATAATATTTTCACTCTTTCACACTGTATTCCAAAACAGTAATAGTCCTTTTTCATTCTATTTCATAGTCTGTTTGTTATTTTGTTTCATGACTTTTTACTTCTCTATCTATACTGTAAGTATGGGGGTGTTAAGTGCAGTACAATCTATCTGTGTTATCTGTGTGGTATGTTTTAATACATGATCACTATAGAGCACCTGCTTTTCCAACATCTCCTTCACATCATCATGTTGTCTTTGAAAGAGAAAATCTTTTTTCATCTAAAATATCACAATAATAAGAATATTATTATCATGGTGATATGTAAGGAGAGAATTTGTTAAAAATATAGACATTGCATTTTATCTACACTTTTGATTATTATTTCTTGAAGGTCCTGACCTTATTAAACCATTAATATTTTAATGTTCAGTTTTATTTCCACTGGCTTATTTTAATGCCTTTCAAAACACTTGTATCAAACATCTGACTGTAAAATCACTTCAGTACACCAGATAATGTTTTCCTCCCTAAATCATCTGGAGAAGGAAAGCTTCATCTTCCCATCAGTTGCTTTTTCTTTGCTGTTTCCACCATTTAAGTAATTGATGTTGCAACACAGCATTTTCTGGATATGCTTACATCAAACATATGAAATGTTGGGAACACATGCGGGTATAAAAAGCTAATACTAGTAACAGTTACCACTACAGCTGCCCCCGTTCTGTATATTGTCGGTCAATAGTATTCTTGCTCATTGTGTATAAGCTCTTTGAAATATACCGATTCATAATGAATATTTTCACACATATTCCATACAATAGGTGAGATAAATGCACAAAACACAAGGTTCCATGCGCAGTTTTGCAATTTCTCTTTCACTTTTTACAATCAGTTTATTTTATTTGCCGGAAAGTAAGCCTTAGAAATTAATAGGACGTTTGATCAATTCACGCTTGTGCATTCTAGTCCTATTTTAAACTTTATAGTGGAAGGACATCTGTGAGCAGGGAATAAGTCAGCACAGAATTTGATTGTCGGCAAATTTCTGTAATCGCCCATTGTTCTGCTAGTGATAAGCTAGCCATTGTGTTCACTCATCTTGCTTGATTGGGGCTAAGTCTTATTCCGGTCAAAGAGAGAGAACGAGTGTCTGGTAAGGTTTCATATCAAAGATTTGTGAACTCGTGTCTGGCAAACTCTCAAAGTGTTTATAATATACACAGTTATATGCACCTTATAACTTCATCTGCGCTTAATGAGTGTCTTTTGGTCCGTAACTTTCAAAACAACTGCTCCACAGAATGTCACTAATAACAGGTAACGTAAAAGGGTATCCAAGTATGACTGCACAATAAAGGTCACAAAATCTACCTAAGCAGCCCCTTTTGGATTTTCTGTCTTTTCGTCATCCTAACCATTTTGTACTTGCGGGCACAAACAATAGAAACGTCATCATTACCTACCCATTCCTCGTGGCCCCTGTTCAAGCAAATCAAGATTTTTTCTGGCATACTGACTGTATATTTCAACTGTAAGTACTTTTCTTAATATACGTGCGAGTTACTAGAGTGCCTTGTCAGGATTTTGCCCTCTGAGAAAAATCCCTGCGGGGGCAAAAAAGCAACAAACTATATTAAACTCTGGCACTGACCTGTAACACAGCTTCTTTTTCTTGTCTCTGCTGACTTATAAACTTCTCAGTAGCTTCATGTATGTTCTGTAAACAACAAAAACCAAGTTATTTTGTATAAAGGGGCTGTAGCTGAAAAGTAATAAAAGTAACAGTAATAGTAGGTGAACAGGACTTCAGAGGAAATAAGAGTCAGTACCACAGTTAATCGCTTATCCATAAAAAAAACTTGTCTTCACAAACTCAGTTATAAAATTATAAAGGGAAATATATATATACAGACCATGATTATTATGCCAATAAATAAATTAGTAAAGATAAAGTGTCCCAAGAAAATGAAGATGACAGTAAACCATTGGCTGTAAGGCCTCTTGTCAAGATCTTTTTGTATCTCAGTCCAGCCATCTACCTAAAAATGAAGTAACTTGTTAGAGGAACCTTTAACTTTTGAATAATGTTATTAGCTGATGATCAAAAAGCTGACTACAAGCTGAAGGGAGGAGCAAATTGGAAGAGACTACATCCATTTCTTTTCTAAAGAAGTAATTTTTGATCAACTAAAATGTTTCTCAAACCATTATCATCAACAACTCACACTTAACCCTACTCAGAAAAATTTAAAGAAGAACTTAAATTGCTATAATGATTTACACTATACTGGCCTTGCATATCATGCTTTTTACTTTTAATGGCATTTAAAACTAGAAGAAATCAGAAGTGATAAGAAATGCAGTGCTTCAAGTTAATGCAGTTTTACATGAACTTGCAAAACGACATCAAAAGACAAGGCAGATTAGGGTAGCAGAGGAATAACAGAAGGGCTGCCAATCTATATATTATTATTAATTATTCTCCTGTGTTTACACCAGCTGCCCATCATAAAATAATAAGCCTTGTGGTCTCATATCGCTGAGCATGAATATCAAAGGCAGTTGCACTTACAGTCACAAAGGTGAAGAGGGTAAGCATAGCTGTACTGAGAGTTCCCCAGTTCTCTTTGTCACCAGTCTCTTCTTCATAGCCAAAAATATAGTAACCAACAACAGCAAAGAATGCCATTAGCATAGTAAGCAGGATCACCACATTTAGCACTGAATTCCTGATTGTATCAATCAATGCAGTGACTAGAACCTGTAGGCCTTCTATGAAGGATATGGTCCTCAATGTGCGGGCAGCTGCAAAGGAAATGCATTCGTTGATGTGGCCCGTTACTCAGTCTCCAAAGTATAGCTATAAAACTTGACACAATGTTATATCATGCAACATTACCCAGGGGGTTACCTGTGTAACTGGCCAAAGCTAGAGTTTTCAATAAGGTTTTAAGTAGGTGGCAAAAGCTCTGGAGTAGGCGGAGAAGGAAAAAACTAGCACCACAGGCGCAATTTTGAAGCGCCAAAAGTGCGTGGTATTTTACTAGGGGGGTCTAGGGGCATGCCACCATTTTAAAATCTGGGCCTCTTAGAATGCATTTCTAGCATTCTGGAGCAAACATTAGAGTGTTTGACAGAACACAGACATCATTAAATTTTGGCTTTTTGGGGTCTTTTTTTTCCAAAGAAAAGTAGGCGGCCTCAGTTCACGTGAAATAGCTGGTGAATTTTGCTGGCCACTGGCTGTTATTGAGAACCCTGCAAAGCTCCATGAGTCTAGCAGGGCTTTGATCTAGCAGCACCTGGTGGCCTGTGGTGCCTAAAAATCTTAGTTTTTTTTCCTGCAAATCATGCGCTGGGTACCCTGGATTTCACAATTTCAGAGGACTGGGCTCCCATCAATTTTCCTTAGAGCAATCTAGTCATGATTTTGTCTCTGTGCCACAGAGGATTATGTTTTGACAGCGTTAAATAGCTAGTAGGTAGGTGTTTACTATTATATAAGGGCTGTTTTGTTTTATTTTTCCTGGAATGGATTCATTAACTTGCACTGACAATACCATGACAAAAAATTAAGTTTGTACCTTTAAGAGAAGAGAATTAGAACATATTTTCAACATGACAGAGCTAGCTACACTGAAAGTAACAGAAAATGGGTACCCAGTTTTGTTAGTACATTTTAAGTACATTTTAAGCCACTATGGGGACAGTGATAGAAAGTGTTCATATTATAACTAACGAAGGGTCCACAAACCTCTTAGAAGTCGTAATGGTGTAAGAATCTTATCTCCTACATTAAGTTCATCCATGATGACCTGGACATATGACAACGCAAGTATTGAGAAATCAAATCTGTTGTAACTGCTTTTCCAGTATCCTTTAGGTTCAGCATAGAGTTTCATTAGAAATTCCATGGTGTATATAGCCAGGAAGAACTCATCAAGTGCTTTGAACACGTTGGTGTGTGCTTGCTTCCATTCTTCCACTGTTTCGAATCCAATGACCAAGGAATTGAGGACAATCACGCCCATGATAAATCCATTGAATAAGGGACTCTGCCAAGAAACAAATCCCATTTTTCAAAACACATGTTAACTATTCAAGGCTGTGCTCTAGAAGAGTAAAAGGTGCCCACTGCTATGAACCTGTGAAATCCAGGGTGCCCAGCATTATGATTTCTATGAAAAAAGAGCTAATATTCTCTAGTTGCCTGGGAGCAAATGTTAGGTGCTTGAGGCTAATACATGCTGCTGGAGCACACACTTGTAAATATCACTTGATCTCTATAAGCACTTAATGTGCCTCCAGCCTTCTTTTCAAGCAAAGTGTCCATGATCAGCTGTTAGTCAAGGTTTTTAGAGCCACTATTAAATGACCGACAGTACGACTTGCATTTCTATAATCTCCACATGTACTGAGGTTTGGGGATTTAGGGTTAGGACACAAAGCCTATAGAGAGGCCCTGCCAGGGTAAATTCCGACAAGCGACATGGCCCAAAAAGTAGCGACAGCCCGTAAAATGAAATTGCGATCAGAGACAACCTCCCTCGGCCAAATTGTGACAGTGACGGTAAAGCCGACAATATTAAAGTGACAAGCATTTATAAACACCGACACGAGACGTTTTAAAATTCAGACGGGCGACAATATCTATAGATATTGGTACAAATTTACAACCACTTGAAAACCTTGAACGTGTACGGGCAGCAGGCTATCTACAACGCAACACATCGGTAGTGAACTCTAAGCCATCTAACTGTGATCTACTTTGCATTTAGTTGAAGTCAATTCTTTATCTCAGGTAATTTTTGTTTTTCTTTTGTTTTTGGGTATGGTAATGTGTGGTAATTTAGTTGAAACAAAAGAAAAATAAAAATAATTACCTGAGCCGAGATAAAAAAGCTAACTACAACACATTCAGTATTGCCTGCACATTTCCTACATCTGACTATGTTTATCAAAATATCGTACCGTTGTTATTTTCTGGATGTATCTGTGAAACTTTTCATCTATACGACGCCTTGAACCTTTTCGTTTCCTGGCAGAAATAGTAACTCAAGTTAAGCTTAATTATGTTAAAAAGTTGAAAAAAACTCTTGGCCCCTCTTAAAGGCGGTGAGAGATTTACCGTAACAACTCGAGAGTTGCTTGATTTACGTTTGGAAACATAGTTTTCCATTCAGTTCGTTAAAAGTCCACGATAAAAGATACTGCAGGTCATCTGATCGCTTGAGATCTCTTTCGTGTAGCAAGCGACAAATTACGCCACAGGAGAGCTCACCAAAAATCATGGCAGGGTAGGGGTGCTTAAAAGTTGTCAAGATGGTTTAATTTTTTACTTTAAACCCATCATTTCCTCTTCGTAACTCGTTGTGTTTTAAGATTTGCTAAATATTGGCTGAGTGTTTTGACGTTTTTGTTGCCAATATATAACTACTTGTCAGATATCTTCCATTTGTGCACTAGCACTTACCCTACCCTAGATAAGTTTCCCGTTGTTACTTTCGCGCCAAAACAATTTCGTTCCCAGGTCTCTTTGCAATCCCAATTCAAAATGGCGGATAGCGGTTCTGGATGATTCTTTGAAATTGTGCACCGTCATTCATCCATAAATGAGGACTGATACCATAATCACGGAAGTCAGGCAAGACTGTATGGCCTATATTGGTCTGATTCTAGCTTATCGAGCGATCGCTCGTGGACGAAGAAATGTTGTCAACCCTTCGCCTTCGCGTCAAGCCACTATACGCGACCCTGGGTATTGTGATCTTCGGAGTTGTATTGTTCTTAAAGTTCTCACCTTGGACTCCGAGCAAACCTGTCACGACACCCTCTTTGACGGAAGTGGGAAGGGATTTTTATCTTGATGGTAAACAGTTTCGAATTCTGAGTGGTTCTATACACTACTTTAGAGTTGTTCCTGAATATTGGAAAGATCGTCTGCTGAAACTCAAGGCAATGGGTTTGAATACTGTTCAAACGTAAGTCTGCAGTATGTTTGACATTTCCAAAGGTATTGTAGTGTTTATCAACACTGAATGGCAATGTAAACGCGGAAATTACTGACGAAAGCATCTCGAGCACTTTTTAAAGCGCTGATCGTTAACCTAGCTATGCAACAATCCATTGACGGTACCTTCTTTCAAAGAAGACAGAGAGGGTAGTTCTTGCGAAATGACTCCTTCAGAAATCTGGCATTTATTTATTTATATATGTAGATGTAGATGTGAAGCCTTATTATTATTACAGTATCGTTTTTTGTTTCAGTTACGTCCCATGGAATTTGCATGAAGAAGTTATGGGACATTTCAACTTCGAAGGTGGATTAGATATTGCGTGAGTTTATTTTTGGAAATGCTTTTATCGATACTTTTATCGGTGTTTACTATGATGCCCTATATAATGTATTAGTAAGCTCATTATATCTACCTGGATTTATGAAAAACGGGTTAGCAAACATTTGTAATAATTCTTTCAACTTCCCCTACCTTAGCTTTTTTACCGTGTTGTTTGCTTATGTTGTTTTTTTTGTTGTTGTTGTTGTTGTTTTGTGGTTAGAGATTTGTGTAGAAGTGCCTGTAGAGGGAATTTCGTGAGTTCACTTTCTTTGTTCCCCTCCCCCCTCTCCCTCCCTAGAGGTTGTTTTTCCGTCCCTACCCAGAATTCTCTGTCTTAACAGCCAGCCAAAAAAACCTTTCATCGGTGCTTAGATGGGCTGATTGTGCCTTGAAAACCAAAAACGAATTCTCAACTCAGGAAAATTGGATGTAGGTCTAGTTTCAGTGGGTTCTTGGCTTTGAACCTTTCTTTGTGCCACTTGGGAAATTTTTTTTCAACCAATCAGAAGTGTATACTGCGTGGTCTGTGTAGTCACAGGTCATCAGTGTGGTATTTCCGTCATCATTCCTCAGAGGTCATTTTGTAAAAAAAAACAGTGGTGGCACCCATTGTGAAACGTTCTTTGTTTTGAAATTCTCAGGTTAAGTAAAGGAGATATTCCCAACAATAGCTGCTCTATTTATGAAATTGAAGGAATTATGTGTAACAAGGACAACTTGCATCCAAGCAATTTTTCATGACAAAATTTGTGTTTTCACCTTTTTCCATTTCATTGCAGTCGTTTTATCAACCTAGCTCATACAATTGGTTTATATGTGATTGTGCGTCCTGGTCCTTTTATATGTGCCGAGTGGGAGTTTGGAGGATTTCCAAGGCAAGATTATAGCTGAATAATAAATCAGCCATTTTTGCAGTTGAAATTAAGGGTCATGATAGAAGTCGTACAATAGACATCTACTTCAAGACTGTTATTATACAAAAAATTGTTCACCGAGCATAAAATTTACCATCTTTAATTCTTTCACCATACAGTATGATCTTGACATGATCTCTGATCCTAGCAGTATGCAGGATGCGTGTCAAATATGAACCTGGTATAAGGCCTTGCTCTCCATGAGCTTTCAGTAGCTCAGTGGATAGAGTGCTCACCCAGTGTTTGGGAGGTTATAGGTTTGAACCTTGTCGGGGACTCAGACTTTTTTTGTCCCATACTCGTGACATGCTGATTATTTCATTTTGACATTTGTTCACTGAGCTTAAAATTTACGATCTTTCATTCTTTCACCATTGTTAATCTTACCTTTGTTTTAATTACACTTATTTATGACCACTGTTTATAAGAAACATTCAATAAAATTATTATAATTACAGTCGAACCTCTATGTGCGACAGTTCTTCTAAGTAACCACCATACCAGAACCTCTTGTAAGCAACCTCCTCTCATAAGCAGCCGCATTTTGGCCTGATGGTTTTATAGTTTTCCATTGTTTTTAATGACCTCTTGTAAGTGACTACTTGATAAATGGTTACCAGAATAACTCAACAATAATTATTAAGGCAGGGACTCAGCAATATACCTGCTGCTGCCATTTCCTTTTTATTGAAAAAAAATGGTGATATAACATTAACTAGAAAATTCAATTTGTGTGTGGTCCTTTGACAATTTTATTGTCCATGATTAATTTTCAGCCTACTTACAGGTCATTTAAAACTGACATTAAGTAGATGGAAATCTCAAAGCTTCGGATCAAAGCAATACTATCCATTATTCCATACCTTTTCAATCTCTAAGTAGTAATATTATATTACCTTCTAATGTTTTGTAATAATGCCACAATTTTATTTCAGCTGGCTGTTGCATGATCCAAACATGGAGTTGCGATCCATGTATACTCCTTATATTCTGGCTGTAGACAGGTATTTGAAGAAAATGGCAGAGATATTGGCCCCACTGCAGGTGCGTATGTGTTATTATACATTATAATCACTATCTGTCTTCTCATTGGCTAATTATGTGCCTACAGCTAATTTGGGAAATCAGCCCAACCAGATTAGTTACTTACCTGCTAGTAGATTATTGACTAATCTGTAGGTAGTGTGCACAGTGCATGATTTCTAATAACATTATCGATTCAGGTTCCTCGCGATGGCATGTTTGTTGTTATTTTCTTCAAAACAATGTATAATAAAACAATAATTTATTATTGATTCCGTTTTTGTAATATCCTAATAATCAATGACTCGGTAAGTGTTATCATCCGCTGCTGATAGCACTTACCTCGACGTTGATTGTCTCAGAAATAACAAAAACATCATCCAATGATTGTTTATAATTTACTAATTTAGAGGAAAAATTTCTATGCTGTGCTAAATCATTGTGTATGAGCAGAACCCTTGGGAGCCAAATTGGTTGCCTTACATTTTAAAAGACATACCAGTACCAGATAAGAGTGATTAAGCATTTTATAATTTGTATCTTGACATTAAGGTGTCAAATATTGAAGTTGTTGTTTAGAGTCAGATGTCTTGAGGGAAAGGTTTCATTGTGAGGGCCTTTGTGTAATTCAGTTTGTCAATGAAGACTTTAAGGCTAAGAATGCTGGGAATTGAGTCTCATTGGACTGTCAGTAATGGTTGTTCATAAAGGAGTTGTAGCTGTCAGCTAATGTCCAATCTTGTCAATCTTGCTCATATCCCCTAATTAATCATCTTTAATGAAAGAAGGCTACAATAATTTCATTTTTTTAGAAATTTTGGGGGAATTGCTTTTATTAAAAACAGACAAGAGATAAGAAAACTTAAAACATGTATACATGCAGACAGTACAGTTGTTTTCTCTCAAACATGGTGTAATAGCATATCAGTCATAAGTACGTGCAGTGGGCACTACGCTGTAAAAAGCTGGTTGAACTTTTTTAAAGGGTATCAAAATATAACCCAGTTTTCCATGATACTAAATAGCTGCATAGTTGCATATGAAATTATCTCTAATCTTATTTATTTTTTGGCTGTTTTCAGTATTCCAAAGGTGGACCCATTATAGCTTTTCAAGTTGAAAATGAGTATGGAAGCTATTCAGAGGACTTAAGCTCTGAATACATGATTCACCTGCGAAATGTAAGACAACGATTTTTGTGTTTCACCCTCCACCAACCCAGCACTAGAGGCTCTGGGTAACTCTGGCCTTAATTCTGACCAATTACCAGCAGAGCTCTATTTCAGGCATGGTTGTGCGTCCAGTTTGGCTGAATAATAGAGGATTAATGGTATGGTAAGGCTCTGTGCAAAAACATCTCCTACACTCCTCATTTCCTTTTTGGAGGGGTGTTTTGGTATGGAGCTTTTTGCTATATTGATGCTGGCGCAACACCTTGTTGAGTGAAAGGGCAAGGTATTAGTTCAACTACTGTATACTCTCTAGCAGCCCCCAATGGCCCCTTGTGCCTTACTTTTCCTCTTAGGTGACTAGGAAAATTTCATTTTAATTATTTGTCAGTGTAAGACGCAGACTGCAGACTATTGATTTCACCATGCAAATGAGTATGTGACAACAATAGTCCCATTGTTTTCCATCCCTAAAAACAATAGTCCACAGTCTTCATTTTACACTGCCCTTTTTTATTATTAAAAGCATGCTAGACACAGTGGGTTTCACAATTTCAGAGTACTTGACTCTCTTCAATTTTACTTAGAGCACCTCTGTATGATTACTTTCATTTGTTTTTTAACCTTTTTCAATTTGAGACAAAATAAACCAACAAGCCGGTAAGGATAGTTAAAGGTCTCTGAAAGTGAATGTCTTATCGTGTATTTGCTTGTTTTTAGGTTATGGTTGATGAAGGCCTTACAGAATTGATGTTTACATCTGATAATCTGTGGATAATGGAGCAAGAAAAATATCGTCTGCCAGGAGGTACTACATGCACTTTACACTCAAGTTCATTTCACTTCACTTCACTTGATTGTCGTTGCTCACAAATAGCGAAAGCTAATTGAGGTGGAGACCGTGATGATATTTTAGGTTGTAATCGTAGAATATTGGTAATATTTTATTTTACAGGGTAATTTGTTTTACGTGGAACAAATATCTTTTAATTTAAGGGGCGATATTTTTTTGGATTTGAGATATTAATGGTACTTACTTGCTTGTTTAGTCAAATTTAACTTCTTATTTCGTCTTTGTATTCTTGTCCCCTTGCAGCATTTTTAACAATGAATTTGCAAAAAGATGAGGTTGATTCTATCAAGAGGCTCAAAAAGTTGCAGGTAAAGGTTTTTTTATTAACTTAGCCTCAGTTCAAGAAATTCCACCCTTAAATCGGTAAAATTTGGTTCTATGGCACATTTTTTTTTACTCCCTAGTCTAAGAATGCATAGCCCGCAAGAAAGCTCTCTCGCCGCGTACGAACTCTGTCCCGCTTGCGTGTGCCTTCTCACGATATCGAAGTTGCCTAACGAAAATTTCAACATGGGTTTCTCAACCTTTTACCATATTAGTTCGATTCATTTTGTATCACCTTTTCAAAGCACAACCATATTAAAAATTATAGTGGCCTAAGGTTGTTTTCAGATGGCTCACTATTCAGTGCCCAACTTATCTTTACCGTTGACTTGTCCCTTTCTCAAGAGTGGCCGCTTAAACAGGGGTTTGTTCTCCCGAATATGCGATTTCTGATCGAAACGTTGTACATGTAAAACCAGATGAGCCATGAAGTTAGCAGATCATTGCAATAATGGCCGTTTTTATATTTAGAGGACGTTTAGACGGATCAACGTTTGGATGTTTGATAAGCGCGAGGTTGAGTGCGTCCCGTGTCCACTGTAGAAGCCATTTAAGCCTCCCACCCTGTTGGTGGGAAAGGCCTAAGAACGTTTGTTTAGGAGGCTATTAAAGTGGACAGCGTCATATATGGCTATGACGTCTGTTAAGTGCATCGATTATACATGTGTAAGCTCAGACGCTTACTGCGTCTGCGTTTTTTCTCGTGTTTACACTAGATGGTTTGAAAGTCAACCCGGGATGGGGAGACTCCCAAGTGAAAGGGACTGAGATATTCGTTAAAACCTCAACGAAGACTAAACTGGTCTTGACTCAGTCTTTGTTGGATCTTTATATGAGAGCATACGCCAACTCATAATGACAGTGTTTCTTTTTGTGTTTTTCGTAACACGCTATGTGAGTCGGCCAGCTACCCCTTCCTTTTCATATCGGAGCGTCTTTTCGGGTAGAGTACAGAATTTTAGATTCTATTAAAAAAGACAAGGACGACTACAATAGTGATACTTTCTCAATACTTAGTAGTGCGGGGCGTGAACCAGCCTCAATCTGACAACGCGATGGCAGCGAAAACATCGCTTAAAAAGTGAATTTATGTTCCTCCAGTCTTTATCGCGATTATTCCTACCCATCTACGATTGAATTATCAAAAATCGACAATTTCCCATGGAGATGAATTCGTAGAATCCCTATCCAAGTTCAGAAAGAGAAAGAAAATTTCGTCGTTACGTCCTCCGTAAAATGTAAAATTAGGCAATTTCGCGTCGAAGTCATACAAAAACGGCAAAGAAATGTACAAAAAAGTACTATACACGTACAAAATTGTTGTTGTACTTTTGACGTTCTCGTTGCCATCGCATTGTCGGATCGTAAAGTCCCTAGTTTTGGCGGGTAAACGTGATATCTCGTACTCGTTGTTGTCCTCGTCCTCGAACCTATAGGTCTGTCACTATTAATGGCCCTGTGGTAATTTCAGTAGCCTTGTGGGTAAATAGCATGCGCAGTGTATTTATGATATAAATACAGGGTGGTAAGTTGGTAGTAATGTGGCTGTTTGTCTTCCAGCCTAATAGACCTTTAATGGTGGCAGAGTTTTGGCCAGGATGGTTTGATAATTGGGGCGATGGTCACTACAAAATGGATGTTGAAAAGACTACCACAAGGGTATTGAACATTCTTAAGGCTGGAGCTTCCATTAACCTCTACATGTTTCACGGTATGGCGGAATATTTGTGGCATATTTTCCGAAGCAAACACAAAAGTATTATTTTTCGGACTGAAGTGATTCGTTAGTCATTTTTTTACCTAGTATTCCGCACAAGGAATGGCTGTTTAAAAAGGCCAAATTCATCTACGGTAATCATAAGTCGAAAAAGTACTTATAAAATAATTCTTATCTCAGTGTCTAACACTTAAGCAAGGTAGCTTTTGATGGTATCTTATAATTATAGTCTTTCACAGCAAAGTCAGCTCCGCCGCGGGTGTTGTCATGTGTAAGCTCGCAGACGTACATAAGGCCAAAATGGGAGCCGCGCTTCTACTAAAAAAATTTCGGCCATATCTTCCGTTCAGTGCACTTGCTTTCAATAGAACTCTTTAAATGACTAAAACTCTACAATGCAGCATATAGAAATAGACTCAACTAGCGATGCTTTCCTTTTTTTTCTTTCAGGAGGCACTAACTTTGGATTTATGAATGGCGCTCTTGTCATTCCCTGGATACGAAAATTCTCTTATCAAGCTGTTGTTACGTCATATGGTAACATCCTCTTTGGGATTCTCCAGTTTTAATACTGTGTCGGCCATTTTGACGTTGTCCTTGAGACCAGGAACTGTTTTGGGGGACAAATTTGAACCAGTGTTTTTAATAGTGTCCGAAAACAGTGCCTTAGAAACAAAGTACAATTCGACAGACCCTAATCTCACGCTTAACCGTAGACAAAGAATGGCCAATTTGCTCCAACCTGGCTCACTCCACACTAACGTAGACTCTTACCTAGTCGCTATTTATGTGTTTATGGGCTGGGAGAAGATTGGGGTTAGGAGGCACACTGTTGTCTTCCCATGAGACCTCGCGCGTCTCATTTATCACCCAATCTTTTCTCTTCTCATAAGACTTATAAATAGTGACTGGGTACGAATCTGAGGCTATGTTCACACTATACTGAATAGCTTTTTCTCTGCCTTGAAAATCATACCGGATAGGACAGGAATGGTTGTGGCTGCGCGATTTCTTTGACGAAGCGAAGCTGCGCCGCGCCGATTTTTGACAGTGGAGCGTGACATATTGGATAGGTTTTGTGCCATACTTTGGTGTCAGCTTGTAAACACCTATTCGGCCCGTCGTGGAAGTAAATAAGTAGGAGCGGGGACTGGAACCCACTGAGACGGAAGTAAATATTCAGGAGTGATGGAGTTTAGTTAACCAAATACTCTCAGCCAACCGCGCTCGCAAGGTGATGAACGTGCCGCCTCTTAGCAGTTGCTGTTCGTACTCTACCGCCTACACTAAACTAAAACGAGAAGGCACATCTGGCGATGCGGGTTTTTTCTCTTTGGTTTGAATAGGGGCAACTTTATTGTATCGATTTTGATTTACCATATAACCTGTTCCTTGTAGATTATGATGCTCCATTGTCAGAGGCTGGTGATGTGACAAAGAAGTTCTGGGCTTTATCTAAAATTTTTAAAAAGTATAACCCAAGCTCCAATCATAAAGGTTGGCCTTTTTTTAGTACTGACACACATTAGGGACCAGCCATTATTTATCGCCTGGGGGGTGGGGGGAGGATTATGGGGGGATTACTTGATTTTTGGGAAACAAAACTTGAGTTTTTGGGAACCCAAAGGGGGGAATCACTGAAAACTTTGGAAGGATTCAGAGGGGGACCACTCAAATTTGCTTGGAGAATGAAGACATGGGGGGGGGATCGCGAAAGTCATCAAATGTTATTAGGGGGAATCACTTCAGTGAAGTAACATTCAAAGGGGGGATCGGCTAAATTTCACCTTTTTGAGCCCCAAATCTTTCCCCCCCGGCGATAAATAATGACCGGTCCCTTATTTGGTGGCGTTGAAATAAAATTCAGGGTCCGCCTAGTTTGATTACCAGTTTTTTTGTCTTACCCAGCTTTTTTGCAAAATCAGAAACAAAGAAATTGAAAGTGAAACTAGTTTGAAACTATCTCAGCTAGAATTTTATTTCATTCGTAAGATTTTTATTGGTTGTGCGTAGCAGGGTTAACTAAATCTTCATATATCTTTCGTAATTTCATAACGATTTCTAAAGAGAGTCGTAAAGCAACTGTGATTAGCTCTGACTGTCTCATACGACTGCGATGTGTCTTACAAGTTACCCTTAACGATTGATGTATTATTTGCCTCCTAGTTGATAAGAGTCTTCTATACCCAGAGAGGAGAGCATATGGTAATTTACGTAATTGTTATTTGTTTTTGTAAAATACTAGCCTCCTTAGCAGGCGCCGGTTTTTGTAGAGTGAAAATGGAGAAATTTCGATAACGCGCGCGCACGAGTTGAGGGGAGAAAAGGAAAGGAGGCCTCCTCTCCCCTTCGCGAGTTCCCCACGCGCGCTCTATAAAAACTTACCAAAATAACTGGCGTCTGTCACGCATGCTTTTGTATATAATACTTGATTTTGTACGGGTTACTCCTGTTTTTTATTTTTAGCAACACGGTTTTTTTTGTCTTTCATCACATCTAGGTAATGTAAAGATGCAGAAGTGCTTGGGACTTTCAGATATGACACATTCCTTTGTGAGTATTATTCATTACCGAATAATAGTTCATTTATTTTTTGCTACAGCCTAAAGTTTTTTTTGCGACGAGAATGAATTCCAGCGCGGAGGAACAATTAAGAAATTGAAAATATTTGCCGCTAAGAATATTCTTAATTTGAGAAAATAAAATACATGCGATCTATGTAAAAAATAAGGGCAAAAACGACTATTCTAAAAGTACCTGAAACAGTTATAGTTAAAGTAAAGGGAGGTATCCCATCAAATGATGGACCTGCATCCCTGATTTTTAACAACTGTAAATTGCACAGTAAGAAAGTAACATTTATGTTAGTTGCTAGTGGTTCGTTTTATTAATAAACCAAGTTCGATTTATTTAAAATTCATACTTGGTTTCGAGGCTTGCTGAGGGGTGGGGGGCGGGGGCTGGGGAATGAAACAAAAGAAATGTATTATTCATCTCTGAACCTTAAGATGATTCTTTTCTCAGTTTTCCCAAGCTTCATAACCATGTATGGATTTTAATTTATCAAAATTGATCTATTGTAATCTATTGCAGTGTGTATTGGGTTGTGTGGTTTCTCCAAGCGATATTTCTGATACTGAAAAGACATTGGCGTGATTCCTTTAGAATGCTGGTGGAAATGACACAGACTTTAATTTTGTAGGCATTTATCGTTTGCTTCCTTACTTCTTTATCCGTGAAAAAAACTCTCAGCTCTACAAAGGTTCCTTTTGTGTCACGCTGAATACAAATCGTATACAAATTATACTAATCAATACATTCGCCACTTGAGTAATGAGAAGAATACTGGAGCCGAAATGTGTCCCGCGATTGTTTCTGGGATCGTTACTGGGCATGCGCCAGTCAGCTATTGGCCAATAACCAATTTTTTCCTTCTCCCTATTAACAGTCCCAGAAGTCTTTGCGAAAATTAACTCAGCCTCAGTTCCCCTCTCGTTTCTAAAGTGGCGAATGTAGTCGGTCGTTTAAGTCTGTCGTTTAACAGTCGTTTAAGCCCTACGCACTGATCATGCGCATTGGTGAGGATGAGCCCGCAGTGATGGCGAAACGCTGCAGACGTGAATCTGAATGTTTTTTTTTTTGTTGTCGTTGTTGGCAGGTTTCCGTCGAGAGTGACAATGTCATGCCGATGGAGATGTTGCCAATAAATAACAATGGCGGACAAGGATACGGCTTCATATTATATCGAACAGAACTGTGGAAGGAGCCTTGGCAAATAACCATACACGATATCAGTGATAGTGCTCAGGTAACCACAGGAGACGCACATAGGAAATGCATCCGGTTCAAAAAAGGGGGACGTAATCAAACGCGGTCTTATTGATGGAGTGGTCTATGTTTGGGGGATGGGGTTAGATTGATAGAATCTTTATTTAAACTCACTTACAATATATAGCACACTGGTGCTAGTTTAAGCGAGCTAAAACTATTACAGTGCGACTACTCGAACCTTGGCACTTGGAAGAAGATTATCCAAAATTATTATCTTTTGCAAAATAATTTCACATAAAAGTATTGAGACTTTTCACGCGTCACAAAGAATCGAAGTAAAAATCAAGTAATTCACGTTTCACGGAAATTTGAAAAATATGTTCAGGACTAACCTGTTTACGCAAAGGTAACGGTAAAGGTAAAAGGTAACTCTTTTTCCTTGAAATTCTCAATCAAATGTTAGGGTTTGGGGAATAATTGTAATGACCCAAATGTTGTCAGGCAAGTTACACGTTAACAATTTGCCTGCCAACGAAAAAGCAAATTTTCAAACTACGACTTCATTATTGAGCCAATCTCTTTGCCTAAAAAAATTCGCTGAAAATAAAATGGGTTTAAAAGTAAGCCGTACTACAAAACATCAGGTCACGCAAAACGGTTTAGTTAACGAATCACGTTTAAATCAAGTCGTCGTTACATGAATCACGCTTAATTCCAAAACCGCTTTCACGTGCACGTAAAAATTGTCTGGGAATCACGAATATTTAAAAACTTAAATCACGCTTCACGTGACCGAAAAAGGAAAAGTGGACCCTCTTTTATGTTCAGCTGCGTCGATCAGTTGATTACGGCTCTGCTTATAACACATCTGTTACTCCTTTACAGGTTCTACTCGATGGCTCGGTCATTTACCGAACAAATTCTGCCATGAAAAAGGGAACGTGGAAGAATATACACTACATAGATCAAAAAGAACTGTGGAAAGTGGTAATAAAGCTGGATAAACCAAACCAGGTACCACTTACTTCAGTTTAGATACGATATGATGGGAAATAACTGAGAGCAGTATTGTCTAATAACGAAGAAACACATTAGCATTATTTTTGGTAGTTTTAATCAAACTCCTTAGCTGCAAGCACCCTTCTTGGAGCTGGCCGGCAAAAAATCAACAAGTTTATCTAGAAAAAAAGATCATGGCATAGGTGACATCTACGAGACCATATGTTAGTACTAGGTATTGAAAAATCAAAACTGCTGTCCTGGAATTTTAGGCGAACATTTTTTTTGCAGGAAAGGTGTTCTGATTTCCTCTGATCTTATGCGGGACTGAAGATGGTCTGTAATGTATTCGTATACAGCGCACCAAGCTGTGACCATTTTGTTCGCCTTTCGCCACTTGCAGATCTCCTATAATGCACCTTGTTTACCCCTCATTTGCATAAGCACAGCTAACATAAAACCACTAACCGCAAACAGCGGGTGGCCGTTTGCGGTAAGTTGGCCAAAACTCGATCCTAAGGTCTCTGTTGAAAAATGTTGAGCTTGATTTTTGAAGCAGGAGGCCTTTAAATCTTACTCGAAGGTAATACTGGAGTATTGCTAGGCTTCCTACCAGAGAGCCTTTCCGGCCTCCCTCGCCCATCCTTATCTTTCCCTCCGCTGTGAACGCTTGATCGTAGGCTAGAAGATCACTGTTACTGTAGAATCTCGATATGGAGAAGAGCTACGTGCCACATTTTTTTCAGGGGACTGTGACATTGTATTCTTCATAACGAGCCTACATTGAGTCGGGTTCTCGTCCGATACATTTTACTGTGATTTCTACGAAGAGTATTGTTCGTGATATATTGGAGTTCTACTTTAGTAATGAAAACTCTCTCTGAGATGGACACCATTGGGGCAGGCACTTAGTGTCTGTTTTAGAGAGATGTCCATCTTATAGAGAGTCAAATAAAGGGAGTCAAGAAAGGAAGGGACCAACTCTAGGTGTCCGACACTCTTATAACGGATACCTCTGTAAGACGGACACCTGTAAAACGGACACTTAGTTTTGGTCCCTGTCTTTCTTTACTCACTCTATTTGACTCTCTATAAGACGGACACCTAGAGTTGGTCCCTGTCTTTCTTTACTCACTCTATTTGACTCTCTATGGGACGGACATCTTTCTACGACGGACACTTAGTGCCTGTCCCAAAGGTGTCCGTTTTAGAGAGAATTGACTGTACACCCAGAAGGGAGGGATTCAACAACAGTACTGTAAGCACATTTCTACGTTGAATTGTAACTTGTTATTGTTTGGGCACTGAATGCAGGATACAAAGAAACATATCCTGGAAATTCTGGTTGAAAACATGGGACGATCAAATATTCTTCCTGTCATGAACACTCAACGAAAAGGTAAAGGAACATTGCTAAACATTCAAAAAAATTCATTTCCAAAACTACAAGAGATAGGAAGTCAAAAGTCATAATTACTTGCAAGTAACAAGTATTACAATAAGCATTTGAGTAAGATACAAGAAGACGCAACCGAAGATTGGAAACCAGGCTTAAAAGATCTAGTTGATGTCAGGGGAAACGGCTTGCTCCACAGATTTCCGATTTCAGCCTCTGACATCTTTAGCAGCAAGGCATACGTAATTTTAAGAGATAACCGTTTGCTTTTATATAGTCGGTTATCTTTGACAATTTCGCACTCTTTGCTGTTTATCAGACGTCAAAGGCCAACAACTTGCCACTGGAAGCCGAGCAAGTTGGCCATGATTAGAGACCTTTAGAAGTTCGAGGACGAGAACGACTTCGAGTACGAGATTTGACTTGAAGTTTTTTCGCGTATTCTCAAAATATAGACACCCCAGAAAGCTTTATTGTACTTTTCACGCTAGGAAATGTGAACACTGTTATGTTTATTAAAGGAGGTTAAGCCCTCTCTCGGTCGCAAAATGATAAAACTTCCAACATTTGATAACTGTTTCCCCTACTAAGACATTCTCGCTAAAACTCGTAGTAGAATGACGACGGCTATCACGTTTTCGCGCCAAAATGACGCTGGTTCACGCGCGAAACACTACTTAGGATTGAGAAGATCTCGTTCTCCTAGTCGTCCCAAGCTCTCTATTCTCCGCCGTGGAGGAAGTGATTGTCCATACGCATTTGTGAAGTGGGAGAGAGAGAGATATCAAGCAAGTAACACAATGCACTACCTCAACAGCACTAAACATCCTTTTTTCTGACCGCGGAAGGATTAGTTCAGTCGGTAGTACGCTTGACTGCAGAGCGGGAGGTCGCGGGTTCGATTCCTGGGAGCGGAACGATGCTCAGGGTCTTAGAATAACTAAAAATGAAGGTACTTACTTTGCCTTGCAAACGGCTTGACCACGTAAAATGGCGGTCCCGTCTCCAGGAGGAGACGTAAATATAGTGTCCCCAGTTAGTACTTGCGTGCTAAGTATATGGACATTTTGCACTAAAGCACTTTTTAAAATAAAGTACGCTTTTTTGGTATTGATTATAAAGTGTAGACCAGAATGTAAAGTTTTTAACGTACTTTGTTAAATTACCTTCAGGTATCCTGGGCGATGTATTTGTGGATGGTAAGAAGCAAAGCAGTTGGAAGATATATCCTATGGAGTTTAAACGAGATTTTTTCTCCAAGTAAGTAATTTAGAGTAATGTAGCATGAGTATTATACATGTGTCACTCATTGCATGAATCAGAATAGAAACGCGTTACTGTGAGCGTGAGTGAAACTTTATGGACGGGTACCGTATTTCCTCAAAAAAACACCAATGAATTATACACCTTTGCTTGTGTTACAATCATGTGACACTGGTCAGCGAAAACCCTTTTTTGACAGCTGTCAGTTGACTATAACGTAGATATCCAATATCAAGTTTAACAGAGGTGCAAATACCTTGGACTCCTGGCGAGTAAGTGTGATATTTCACATCTGCTAACATGATGGGGCAGACTTTTTAAGGACGGACGGATGATTTTGTCACAACTAAACCAAAATTTCTTGGATAAAAATATAACCAAATTTTGTTACCCATGGTGCTCTACAGCGCGTGCTTCGCGTGCACGAGAGAGCTCCGCTATAAATTTTTATTCCCACAAAAATGTTTACTGCTGTGATATTTCCATGCTAATGGAAGCACAACGTTTTTGTTTTTATTGCTATGCTAGATTGAGCGACTTTCCGCTGTCATGGAGAAAAGTAACAGAGTGGAACAAACCTTACCCTCCGACCCTGTACCGAGGTACATTTGATATTAAAGGTGAAATAAAAGACACGTTTCTGCACATGAAAGACTGGACCAAGGGCGTCGCTTTTATAAATGGCCATAACTTAGGGAGGTACTGGGAACTAGGGCCACAAGAGACGTTGTATCTTCCGGCGCCATGGCTACGAAGAGGCAATAATGAGGTAAGTTTTACCGAATAGTTTCGTCTCAGTTATAGCGAAATTCGTTGTTTCGCGCTTCGAAGGATTTCTGGTTTTTTCTGTTCCGTCAATCATCTTAGCGGACCTCTTAGGAAACACATGGTTACTTGCACGAGTTCAAAAGGTCACCGCTTGCGATTCGTGATTGGTGGATTTCGATCCGTTTTGTTTGTTTCGTGTTTCAAGGTTCGTTGTTTTGTGATGGTCCTCTTTCGGGCAATAATCGACTAGTTTTGAAGTTTGCTTCACAGATTTTTCGGGATCTCTTTTTATTATTGTCACTTGCTAATAAAGCAACATCTGCCTCCTTCCCTTCGACAAAAAATCCACTCGCCAACGCGATTTCCTTCGCTATTCTTGAGCAGTCTAGAGTCATTGGGCGAGCACGTTACATTGTGATTTGCATTAACTCCGCCTTCACTTAAATGATTGGCGGAACAGAAAAAGCCAAAGTCCCTTCGAAGTTTGCTGTAATTCATTGAAAATGCCAGAGGGCTAAAGCGATTTTATTTCGGGAGCTACGCGTCGGAAATTCCTTTCTTTTCTTGCGGGAGCAAGGAAAGGGAGATTAGAGATATTTAGAACAATGATCACGATCACTATCATCGTTATCACTATTGCCATCATCATATATTTAATAAAGCAGGTTACATGTAAGGCAGCTTGAAAGATGATGTTGACCTTTTACAGCAACACAACCGCACATGCTTTTAAGGTTAATTACACTACCGGGGTCTTCATAACCAAGGAGGTTTCTAAATACTCTTCTTTAAGAACAGTAGTATGGGTTCTTTTGCGTTCCATAAGAATCAGAACAGTGAAAGAGCTGTGAGACAGGGTCTAAGCCACGGTTTTTCGTCCTCATCCGAGAAGGCTACCCATTTATGTCAGAACAAAGACATTCTCCGCAGTTGGTCCGCCCGGGATTTGATCCCACGACCTCCCGCTTTTTCCCACTGGGCAGAGTAGCGCTTATCTAATTCAGCTAACGAGGCAGGGTTTCTAATGCACTAGAAAGTTAAGAAGAATACCCACGCAGAAAAAGTCCAAATGCGATGAGTTTTGTTTGCAAAAGAGGCTTTGCGGTAACTGTTGTTTTGTTTCTCTTGTGTCTGATGTTAACATGCGTAAAGGTGTCCCACGATAGGTAAAATATCGCGGATGAGAGGGTGTTATCAGCAGGGAGTTCACAAGTATCGACAGTGTACATCTAACCCTTACTGAGCATCTCAAGTTATCGGCGGAGAAAGTGAACGCTAATTTTACAAATCTTGCTCTGATTCATTTCGTTTTTGTTTCTTTCTTTCAGCTTTTAGTGTTTGAGTTGGAAAAATGCAAAGTTCCTGAAGTACCTTTCTCGCTGGAGCCAAAGATCAAGGGAGAGACTGTCGATGTAGAATAACAAGAGCAACAACAGTAACGCGCTTTATAATTTCACCAATATGGAAGTCTTTTGAATCGAAAGTGGTATTGGCCACTTCCACATCATCCCATATAATACGCTCTATTTACACCCAAAACTTTCATAAACGGCCAATTCTGAGTCCGTAGAGAAATTGAAAAAAGTACTCGTGCAAAGTTTGGGGGCAAACAAAATCACGGTATTGTTGGATGATGTGGAATTGATGAATTGAATTCGTTTTCCATTGTTTTGTAATTCATGTGTACTTCTCAAACTCATTAATAATTCATTAAGAAAATACAAAGGAAATTAATGTTTAATGAATGTTTGGAAATCGGATGAAACACTGCTTAGTATTTGCATCCTTAATTTCTCCTTCGAAAATGATTTTGTTTGAGAAGAAATATCAAACATTCGACACAGTGTTTCATCACCAGATGAAACACCTCGAAGTTCGTCAAAAATACTCCGCTGCGCGTCGTATTTTCAACTCTCTTCTCGGTGTTTCATCTGGTGATGAAACACTGCATCTCATGTTTGATATATTACATGATAACTCTGATTTAATTCGTGATATTGTAAATAGAGGACGTTACATCGCCGCGTGGAGATACGAAATTTCTCTTCTCGTGTTCAGAAATATTTTACTTGGTCTCTGCGCTCACTCGTGAAATAAAAGAGATTTCTTACTTCCAAGCGGCCATGTTATAGTCAGCTCCGTTTATCTTTAATATACTTAGTATATCTACCGCAAGTTGAGTTTATACCAGCTCGTTCAATTCTTTATGTCCTTTTAGGGAAGTAACATTACGTTAAGACCAGCTATACATTCCCCAATGTGAACCACATTATACGTTTCACTTCAACGATAAAGACGTCAATCCATTAATTAATAAAAAGTGCAACCAACGACAACAACAAACTTGAATTTTTAATAGTTGAGCTTGATCGGTGAATGACTTCTTCTGACATTATAAGTTGAATGAGGTAGAACTGAGTTCCTGGGACATTGCTAAGTGGGTTATGTTTTTTACTTCCTTTTTTGGACTACGGGTTTAATTTTTATGGAGAGCAAATCAAGTGATTGAACTGTAGCCTACTGGGTCCTTGAGGCTAAAGAAGGACTGAGATAATAGACATAATTCGCCCCATATAAGGGAATACGGAGTCTGGAATCCGGGAAACTTTTGCTTGTGGAATCGGGAATCCAAGAAAATTTTACCTATGGACTCTGGAATCCTGGGCTTTGGAATGGGAATACGGCTTAAAGAATCCGGAATCCCACTTGACGATGGGAATCCAGAATCCAACTTCCACTGACAAAGGCTGGGATCCAGTACCTGAATCCGGAATCCACAGCGCGATACCCAGAATCCAAGACTGTCTTGAATTCCCTTACATGGCTCGGACATAATACGAATTTCCTATGTTCTCTGAGTATCTTCCAGCATAATATCTTTTCCATTTTTTCATACATATGAAAATTTTGAATGTCGGGAAGAGTGAGTCACGAAAAGGCACAGTATAACTCTGTATTTCCTATTTGCGAATCTCCTACTAAGGCTAGCGGTTCAGACGGCGTACCTCTCATGAGCTAAATGGAATTCAATGGATTGGAACCGTGAAAAGTGCCTCGTCTGGATGATTTTTTTAAACGGCGATTTGAATTTGGTTCGGCCATTCTGGGTGTTTGTTGGTGTTTCGGAAACCATTGTTGGTTGGATATTGTACTGTAATGTGGATACTGTTTGGTGCGTTTTCAATCTTTTCTGTTACCAAGAAACTGCCGCCGTTCTTCACCCCTGTCTCAGCTGATACGAAACAGGACGGCAGAAAGAAGAGGACGGCAAAACGCTTGTGTGACGGGGCTATTACTTGCATGTTCTATCGTAATCTTCACTTATAATTAATGTTTTCTGGTCTTTTACAAAAAGATCTGTTGAAAGGACAATGAAATTTGAAGCAAATTTTTTTTCAAACAAAATTATTGTCACGCTTGTCACACAAGGTTTGCCGTCTTCTTTGCTCTAAGGTCCTGTTGCGTAAGCTCACTTATAATAACGACTATGGACTGGCGTTGATTCAGATGCCGAACTTCACATTCAGATTCATATGAGCCGGTGTTCCCCTTTTGATTTCAGTTCGGCTGAAATAAAGATCGGCGTCGTAATTAATCCATTTAGCCGACCTAAATTTATTTGACTCAGCCCAAATTCGAAGTCGATTCGGCTGGTGTGAAGTACGGCGTCTGATCCGGGACTTAAATTAGTCGTACCAGACCGCAAACTTATTATACGGACGATTGATATAGTGTTTCCCTCATTCAAGAGGAGATCTTTTGCCTAGTTTAAAATGGGGGCGGGAGCCTATTCCAGGCGATACTGCCAGTTTTCGCCTCGAGTGGCAGGGTTTTCAAGCATTCGGTCCGGGATATGATGAATTGATACGTGGTATGATCACATTTGTTTTCTTGGAGCGGGTAAGCAAAAGGCATTTGAACTGGGTCTGGTATAGGCAAAGTATTGCAGGATCTCACAGCCACGCCCCTTCCCGGTGCAGCTCTGCCAATTGAGCTAACAAGCCAATTGGTAGGCAATTGGTAGAGCGCTGCACCGGTACCGCAGAGGTCAAGGGTTCGAATCTCGTGCAAGCTTGAATTTTTTTCCGGCTTTCTTTCTGCAGCTGCAAAAGTTGCGTCTATTACTGCGGTGACCTTCTTTCATATTATTCTTCACCCCTAAGTTCTCATATATGATTTTGACATATTCATAACTTCAGTTTCATTTTTGTTAAATGGAAAAAAAAAGTTTTCATCTGCCACACAATTTGAATGGCTTTATTAGTATTTATTTATTACTTCGGCGGAGCGCGAAGCTAAGGATTCGCGCTGGTCAGGAATGTTCCGAAGTTGCATTTGGATGTCCCGAAGTTGCTTCAGAATGTTCCGAAGTTGGTTCGGAATTAGTTCGAGATATCTTGAGTTCTTTGATTTGTTCTTTCAGGGGAAAGAAATAATTATGAGAAAGTACTACTACTGGAAGAAATAAAGAATAAATAGTTATCATTTCTGGCTTGCCCAGGGTTTGAACCGGCTTACGTACGACCCGTCATATAAGACTCTAAAATAGCGCTGCGCGCAGTTACTATTTATAGACCCGAAACTAGGACAAACTGAAATTAACATTAGCGAATTCCTCACTTTTGTCTGACTTTTGTAATTAAAATTACATGTTTGTCTGTCTTTTGTCATTAAAATGTGAAAAATGGAGTAAAAATTGGCAAAAGTTGTAAATTAGTCACTCTGACGTCATTTGCGCGCAACGCTATTGAACCGGATTAGCCGATTGTGCCACTGCGACTCAAGGTAACTTGACATATTCACTAGGGAAAGATTCGGCAGGCAAGTTTGTTATTTGTCTGCTTGTTTTGGGTTTTGACGAATGAGTTGGAGATATCGCAAGATCTCTTCTAGTTCTTTCCGCTACAATAAATATTTGAGGTGGAGCGCAAAGTATTTAAGGATTTGTGACGCTGAAGAATGTCGTAAACTTGCAGGTTACTTCCAAAGTGAGGCCGGATATATCGAAATCAGTTTTAAGTAAGTCAAGATTACACAACTTACATGCCTTCATAGAAAATATTTTGGCGACAGAAATGTGTATAAAGTTTGAGAGTGAAGAGTTTTCGATTACTGGAGATTATTGCAGCAGGAGTGATTCGAAAGAGGAAGATCGAGGAAGAGGTACGGTCGTTTGCGTTGCGTGACTGACGAGGCGATTCGTAAAGCGATAGATTGTAAACAAGGGGAAGGAAAACGCAGTTAGCGTGATTTCGTAACCGTTGTGATAAACATCATTATCATTGTTCTTCTTTTAGTTTTGTTTGGAAGAGTAGATGTTTTTATACTTGTTTTTCTGTTATGTGTTATTGCATTTCATAAAGGTTATGTTGCGATGTTGTGGAGATTGTGCATTTCTGCAAGTTTTGTAAGGGCGTGTACTGATGTTAGTCACGTTGCCGGAGAAGGTGTGGAGTTAACTGTACATAAGGAAAGTGTTATTGTAGAGGAAATAAAGGAAGTAGAACTGAGATCTCGTTGTGCGCAATTTATTTATGATAGAAATTATAATCGAAACGAAGAATTTGACGAAAAGTAGTAGCATACAGGTTCCTCATAACAGAATCTGAAACAAGATAATTTATTGGCAGAGATGACCCCTCGTACTAGCAGACTTCCGGTGAAGAAGTTAAGGCCCGGTTCAGACTCCAGACTTTTCATGAGCCGAACCTAATTCGAATTAAGGCCGACCCAGTTTATTTATACCGGCTGAATTGATTCAGACGCCAGTCTCAATTGCAGGTTGAACTAAGTTCAAAAGGCGAAAAATGTGCATTCTGGTCAAACTGCTTACAAAATACGTTATAATAATTTACGCATTAGGTACCGTACATGAAAAGTTCGGCGTCTGAATCAAAGCCTTTCCAAAGTCGATCCAAAGGCGAAATTTGCGGCCGGGCTAGGCAAAAAGAACGGCTGAGCCGTTCCAAATTGAAACAGGCGTTGCTAATTGATTCAGACGCCGAACTTTTCATGAACTTAGTTCGGCTCATGAAAAGTTCGGCTTCTGAACCGGGCCTAAGACGTCTGTTACTCCATGTAGAAAAGTAAGGGTATTCTATCGAACGGAAGAGGATCCGGAAAGATATAATATCTTACTATTCCTCCGCATTGACAATTGATCCAGAACCGCGACGCTGAAGTGCACGCTCCCATAGCGTCTTGTTCACTTTTTATTTTTTAGCAATGCAACCTCGTTTGGAAGCGTCGTTGATCAGCGGTTTCAGTTGCACAATTTATGCGTTTCAGACAATCGAGGCGTTGATTCTTACACTCAAATTTACATATGCTTAATACATACAAAACGACGGGAAAGTTCTTTCTGAACACATCACGTTATATTTTTGGTTGGACTTCGTTGCGATATTCGTTTTAAACAAGAGGTACTTTCCCTTAAGGACAAATTATGGGCGAAGATTTCCCATCGCGAGGAACACGATACGAAAAGGAAGTGACGTCGTAAAAGGTTGGGCCTGCTGAGAGGGTTGTGATTGAGTGATATTTCAACGTAAGTTGTGTGTTTATCGTCCTTGAGAATCGGTGAAATCCGATAAGGTTGACTTCATGTGAGAAAGCTGTAATCGACGAATGCGTAACTGCGTTTTTGCAAAGTTTCTCGATGGTGATAGCGCACAAGAAAAGTATTCTGGGGGACGAATTTAATGGAGCCGCGAACACCCACTGCAAGTATCAATGGCGGTTCTTACCAATGTGATGAATCGAGTTACCAAGATACTGGAGTATTTGATCGTGACGGGAACATGTTACCAGACTTACTGGATTCACAAGTAGACAGTACATTGCAAGGATTAGACATGGGTGCCATAAAGAAGAATTCCTACAACAGAACTAGGGCAGCAATGGCGGTAAGAACAAACAGGCAAAATATTAAAACCTAGTTACATTTTAATTCCTGAAGCTTGGTGACTTGTAGTTGGCGGTTTAGTCTAGGCTTATTACGATTATTTATTTATCAGTTTTTTCGTTTCCATGCGAGAAAACAGCTGTGAATGAAGCTAATAATGTGGTTTACCGTTCTTGTCAAATATGTTTTTGATTTTGCTTCATGTGATCTCGCGCTCTAAAATCCAAAGCGGAAAAGCTGTAAATGGATTTTGTCGAAGATTTATCCCTGAGCAATTTAACGGATTGTCAATCACAGAGAATCTGTTCGCCCGAAACACATATTTAAGAATTTCACGTCGACCAGCTATATTATACTTTGACTGAGTATTTCTCCTAAAAGTTGTTCCCTGTGTTGAAATGTTTTGTTTTCGCTGCATGCAGACGACAGAAGCTTGATTTTGCACGCATTGGCATATTTTGTTTCTAATCAGCCCAGATGTCATCTACAAACGTTTTTAAAATGGTAATGTAGAAGGTATTTGAAAAATAATCAAGTGTCTCATACAAGTTGACTTTCTACTTCTTTCCCGTAAATGTTGTTTGCTTAGTGCCGAAGTGTTATTATTATTTGACAGTTGTTGAGTGGTTTTCACTTTTTAATGCAAATGAAATGTTTGTTTCGGGGGAGTTTCTTCTCTTGAAATATTGGTTGAAATTATGTTTTCCACATCTTTGAAGTTCGATCAAATTAGGCTTCTTACAGACACATCCATGCTGTGTTTTGTGTGTCTTGTTGAATCTTCTATCCGGTGTAATGTAGGAAATCCATTACTATAAAAATGTTCTATTTAAATGTGGCAAGTGGTTTGTGATAAGAAGCCCCCTAAGAGAGATAAAAATGTAACTTTGAACCATGAGCTTGGATGTGACCATGTTGCAAGGATTTTCTGCCAAGTGTCGTCATATAGATGTAAAATTTGTTGTCAATTTTTTGGGGAAGAAAAGCCCAGTTTTCCTTGATCTGTTGCAACACATAATTTTGTAAACTTTGAAAAGTTATTCTTCGGGGGGACACAGTAGGCATTTTGAATAAAAATAAGACTTTTGTGTAATGAGCTTAGTACGGCCAGTCTATTGGTAGTTCTGTCTTTGCAGATCTCTGGAAAAATCGCAAGACTTAGTACAAAGATTACTTAGTACAAAGTTGATTCAACATTTCCCTCTTTACACTTATCACTGTACATGTGCAGTAAATTTTAGGATTCTTTATAGATGACATGAACCTCTTGGAGGTGCATGTAACTTAAGGAGGAGTCGAGTGCCAGAACAAAACTATAACAGTTTTTTATCCCTGAAAAATCTTTAGTTGGAACTATTTTGAGGGCTAAATATAGCACATGAAACAGTCAGGTTTCACTTCTCTCCTGAGAAAGAGGTCAGTTGCTCTGAAGAAGCACAAGGTGTTTGGAGGTGTTTACATATATGTTGTTCATCTATAGGTCAGATAATTTGTTGTCAGATTGAGTCACTAAAAGATACTCTGACAGGGGAAGAAGTTCAATTAAAAACTGAAAGACATTGGCTAGGCACTAATTAAAAACAGGCATTGGTGAAAAATGAAGGTCAAATTATACAAATGGTGTGGTGTGCATATCACTGCGTACAATCCAATAGCTTTGTTGTTTTACTGTCCACGTCACCGAGCCTCAACATTTACGATTAGGGTTTATGATATTTGGAAAGTGTGGGTAAATGTAATAAAAAAGATGCCAGAGAAAGACTTCCCAAATAAACGTGTAACTGGGTTTTAGAACTTGAGTGCGTGATAGACAATTCATTATTAACATCTTTCATGTAAGTTTTACTGGTGCACATTTTACTGTACATTTAAAAAGAATTTGCAAGTAGATGCTTATTTTGAGGTACGGGTGCATGTGCATTGCACTAAAAAATTATTTTTCCATGGAGGCTGTTCTCCTCTGAAAACTACTACAAAGCTTCTACAAACTACTAAAAAGTTAAATAAATGTAAACTGAAGGCTGGGAAAAAATGGCTTGTGCTCCACAAAAAACTGTAAATGTTAAAGGTGATAGACAGGGCTGTTACTAAGTTCCATGTTGCCATGTACTATGTATATATGTGTTACAGGACCAGTAAATTCAGGTTAAAATTTTTTAACCCAGGTTGATTCTCAGTTTTCTTTGTCTCCTAGCCCTGGTTCATGAAAAATAAGGGCTAGGAGACAAAGCAAAATAGAGCTCGAATCAACCTAGGTTCAAAAATGTTAACCTGAATATAATTTAGACCTGTAACATACATAATGGTTTTTGTATTAATTTTTATTTTTGCAGGCAATAAATCCTACAATTGCAAAAAAGGTGCTACCCTTGGTGAGAACTGTTTAGTTATCATTACAATGCATTATCATTATTATTTTTCATTATATTAACTGTTTTAAATAATAACATGTATGTTGTCAAGTATAAGGAAATTATTTTTTAGTACTTTTTGCATGAACATCATTACGCAAAAAGACATGTTCTTAGCCAACCCTCCAAGTTAATTTTTCCTTTAGTAGCCATTTGGCGACCGACTCTTTAGGTTTAGTCGCCAAAGGATTTTTTTAGGTGCCAAAATATATATCAAAAATTAAAGTTTTAATAATTTGTATAGTAATTAATTTAGGCTTAAGAATGGTATTGTTCAGCCAAAACAATGTTTCTAAAGGGCATTTACTGTATTCACAAGTGTATATAACTTATATATAATCCATGTTGAGTAACGTCCATGTCATTTCTTTAACTATCAGTTTTCTCTGCTCGCCAACTTGGCGACTATTTTCCGAATCAAGTCACCAGTGCCATGGCAGCTAAAGTGGTCGCAGCTTGGAGGGTTGTTAGCAACACTTGGCCATTTTATAGCAGTGTTTACTTTTCTCTCAGCTGTACCTTGCCTTAAACATGTAGATTTGCATGCATAGTGTCTCTTGGAGTCTATCAAATCAATCAAGCTGTGAGAAAAGTAAAACATATTATGAAGATAAGATTGATGTTTTATCAGTCAAGCCTCAAGTTTCATGGAAACATGATTACTGTGTAATCTACGTCAGTGGGGGAGGGAAAATAAATAAATAATATTTTATTGCCTCTTTCTATGAGTTGCTACCCTCAACCAGATACACTAACAGAAGTAAGTCAGACACTGTCATTTAAATTGTATGGCTTCCCCTGTTCAGGGAATTAAAGAGTTGGAGGTTGTGTGGGGTTTATGCCAGTTAGGCTAATATGG